GTGTATGTAAATGTCTGCCAATAGGTGTATGTAAATGTCTGCCAATAGATGTATGTAAATGTCTGCCAATAGATGTATGTAAATGTCTGCCAATGGGTGTATGTAGATGTGTTCCTATGGGTGTATGTAAATGTGTGTCTATGGGTGTATGTAAATGTGTGTCTATGGGTGTATGTAAATGTGTGCCTATGGGTGTATGTAAATGTTTGCCTATGGGTGTATGTAAATGTCTGCCTATGGGTGTATGTAAATAGTGATCGGTGAGTGCTGGCAACCATTTGTCAGGTATGATGGTGGGGCAATCGGTTCTTCTTCTGCTGCTCCTACCCTTAATCCTACTTGTCTGGTTTTGCTGCGAGGAAGTGGTAGAGTGTACTGGGTTCTCGTCTTCTCTTCCCCCATTGATAGTTATTTGGATCGATGCGTTTGTCCGACCATTCCCGCCATCTTAGTAGAATGTGATTAAGTCATTCTCTATCTCTTCATTACCTTCAATCATTCGTTGCAGTTAGAGAGCTAAACGAACATGGCATTAGTAATGTTAGTCTGGTGTTGTCTCATATTTGCAGATAGATTGTTCCAGAATTATAGACAAGGGTTCTGCTAACTTTAGTAACATTATTTCACCCAGTTAAAATGGGGGGATTTCTTTTCTTATTCTACCTAGTCTAGCTTCTGCTTCTTGTTTGTTAATTTGTGATCTGATGCGCTGTCTTGAGTTTTCGGGTCTATTTTAAAATCTTCATCAAGATCGTCAGTCTATTTTCATTAATGAACGTCACAATAGTAGAAGTTTACTGAAAACGTACATGGCGTAGTAGCGGGACATTTATTGATTCGGAGGTTCAGTCCTTCATTCTTGAAACGTACAATGAATCACCAATTGGGGACACTGTTTTTGTTAAATTTAAGGAACAAAGAGTGGGTTCAAAATTTCCTCCACTCAAATGGCCGTGTTTCAAGATCTGTAGTGTAACAAGGTGTATTCTCGTCGTTGAAATTCTAATTTGAGAATGTTCTTGTGTTTGCATAGCGTGTCTTTATATTGATTTGCTGATCAACTAGTAGTGGTACATTTATTGATTTCCGGACTCATTAAAAATGGGGCGTTCGACTCTTTCGCGTCATAGATTTTCGTTGGTGTCACTTTGTTAATTTTTACCTATTTCAGTTTCATCTGTTCAGCGAACCAATTCTCGGGTCTCAAGCTCAAACATGGTATGTTACAGGGTATTGTTGACATGTAGTCCATTTTCAGTATTTTTCGTTATTGAATGTGCAACGCAGAAGTCCCTTATGAGTGAGTGGATATTAAAAGTTGCATGTTGCAAAGTTATATTTGTTAATTCAAAAGAGCATAGTTTATATATTGCGAATATTCATAAACTTCATAGTTTTAGCGTGAAGTCATCTCTGTTCATGTTGGTCAAGCTGGCGTTCAAATTGGAAATGCGTGCTGGGAGCTGTTTTGTTTGGAGCACGGGATTCAACCTGACGGACGTATGCCATCAGATAAACAAAACCAAATTGATGACTCGTTTTCTACTTTCTTTTCTGAAACAGGAACTGGTCGTCACGTACCACGAGCAGTCATGGTTGATCTGGAACCAACTGTAGTCGGTAAGTATATTTAGCAGTTCTGTTTTTTCTGTTGTGCCGGATGTTTAGTATCTATTTTTGCACTTCACTTTTTATAGTCAGTTATGTGAATCAGTAGTATTTAGATGAGATCAGAACCGGGACATATAAACAACTTTTCCATCCGGAACAAATGGTTACTGGCAAGGAGGATGCAGCGAATAATTATGCTCGAGGGCATTATACCATTGGAAAGGAAGTCATCGACTTGGTGCTCGATCGCATTCGACGTTTGTCTGAAAATTGTAGTGGCCTGCAAGGTAAATTAGTCATGTTATCACGCATTTAACTGTAAGGAATCGAAAACGTTTTTTCAGGTTTCCTTATATTCCATTCGTTTGGTGGAGGTACTGGTTCGGGCTTCACTTCATTGTTGATGGAAAGGCTGTCTGTCGATTACGGCAAGAAAAGCAAGCTGGAGTTCTCCATTTATCCTGCACCGCAGGTGTCTACAGCCGTTGTCGAACCTTACAACTCTATACTTACTACACATACCACACTTGAGCACTCTGACTGTGCTTTTATGGTTGACAACGAAGCTATATATGACATTTGTCGTCGCAATTTAGATGTGGAACGTCCATCTTATACAAACCTTAATCGTCTTATTTCGCAGGTTTAAGTTCTATAGCATAAGTGCAGTTATATTGGAAGAATGGTTTTAAGACTTTAACCTGACTTTATAGATCCATAAACTCTCAGTGCATTAGAAATTGATGACCATTATCTGTCTAAATGATGAAGTGTTGGGGTACTTCACATGAGATGAAGTGATTCTATTGTAGGTTGTATCGTCTATAACTGCTTCTCTTCGGTTTGATGGTGCATTGAATGTAGATCTCACGGAATTCCAGACGAATTTGGTTCCTTATCCACGCATTCATTTCCCTCTAGCCACATATTCGCCTGTAATTTCTGCTGAGAAGGCGTACCACGAGTCACTTTCGGTTTCAGACATCACAAATGCATGCTTCGAACCTGCCAATCAGATGGTTAAGGTATGGTTACTGTGTCGGTGAGGAAAGAATTAATTTAAAATTATTAAAAACAATCTTAAAATATAGCCTTTTCCAAAACTGAAGTGTATGCGCCAGAAGGATTTCGATATTGCCTGTCAACTAAGTTTTTAATTATTGTTCTGCTATCTATTTTTTTAGTTTCATTAATTAAAAAATCACTGACTTTCAGTTAGATCAGTTGTGCCTTTTTCGAAATTAGTTTTTCCAGTGTGACCCTCGACATGGAAAATATATGGCAGTATGTCTATTATACCGTGGTGATGTGGTACCGAAGGATGTGAATGCTTCTATTGCAAGCATCAAAACGAAGCGTACTATCCAGTTTGTCGATTGGTGTCCAACTGGATTCAAAGTTTGTTGAAGCTATGAGGGTAGTTGAGTAATTTTGAACGAACTTGTTTCATTTTTCAGGTTGGTATCAATTACCAGCCACCAACAGTTGTTCCTGGAGGGGATTTAGCTAAGGTGCCACGCGCTGTTTGCATGCTTGCAAACACTACGGCAATTGCTGAGGCTTGGGCTAGGCTTGATAATAAGTTTGATTTAATGTATGCTAAGAGAGCATTTGTTCATTGGTACGTAGGAGAGGGCATGGAGGAGGGAGAGTTTTCTGAAGCGCGCGAAGATTTGGCGGCACTTGAGAAGGATTATGAAGAGGTTGCAGTTTCCAAAACTTTATAGTTAGTTTCGTTGTGTTTGTGTTTTTCCATTTATTACTGTCGTATTTGGTTCCATTTTTTCCCCTTCAGAAATTTGTTTTTAGGTCGGTATCGATTCCCTGGACAATGAAGGAGATGGAGAGGGGGATGGTGATGAATATTAAGATTCACTAATATATTAAAAATAAAATAGTATTATTCCCCGCTTGTTTTTGTTGACACACAGAACTTATGCCTTGTAAAAATATATCATTTCTATAAGTGTTTCTACTTAATGCAGTTATTTTAGTATATAAATTTTTTTTATACTTGTTTAGTCTTTTTTACGTACAAGTCTTGTAAGAGATATGTCTTTTACACCTTGCACTGAATACGCAACTTTGGTCGTGGCATTGTCAAGCATTTTTGTGCTATCAATGGTGTGGGAGAAACATTAAGGATTGGAAGCGGCGTAGATGTTGAGTAACAGCAATCAATTTGACAAGAATGCGGTATTGGACTCTTGATTTCATGGAGTTGGTTTCTCATTTTATGGTAAACTGGGTGTCAGCAAATGCTGCCTGATCTAAGAAATAGTGTGGTAGCCCGCGTGTTCATGACCTTCAAATTTTCTTCATAGTGGAACTCGATTAAACCTAATCAAAGGCTGCTACTTTACGTGGGGTGGGATTCATCACCAGATATCAGAAACGAGAAACGGAATTATTTTAAGCAAACGTGGTCCTGAAAAGTGTTAGTAGGAGGTCTTCCGCTTCGTTTTTACCATTGATGTGAAGGGTCCTTGTTTCGCAGTACATTATTCAATCAAGCATTATTTAAGAAAGAATTGGCGACTGGACTCTCAATTTCATTCAGTTATTTGTTGGTGCGTATGGGCTGATAGCATTGGTATTAGGTCTTTTTGGTATTTGTGCACGTGCAAGAAATGATATGAAATTACAGTCAGTGCATATTTCATCAACAATTATTGGCGAGCAAGTAGGCTGAGACCGCTTCACTCATCTAGTAATTTTGAAAGAATAGTGTACATTGGTTTGGCTGCGTTTTTGGTTTGCAAATTACGAGTAACATCAGAATTGAGCTGTTTGGACATTAGTTGAATTAGTCTACTACATGAATTCGAAGTGCAATTTCAGTGCACTGGCCTCTACTATTTCTTGCTAGAGTTTGCTCACTAGTCCTGTCAAGAAGAAGTCACATACTTGCGAAGTCTGCTTACTAGCATACTTTGTAGTAACTCTTGTAACTTTTTGCAAGAAAACTCAGCAAAGAGTTGACAATGAGATCAATGAAACAAGAATAATCCATCCCTTCTTATATTATATATGTAAGTAAAACAAGCAAAACACCATTAAATGCATTCCCATAAGTAAATCCTTCTTCCATAAGTATTGTTATGATCTTAAAACAAGAAATATCAATCTGCTAAAATAGCAGTATCACTCAATGATTGAGCATCTTACAAACAGCTGAGTGCTATAAAATTTTCAAATTTTACTGAATGATTCAGAAGACAAAGTGTTTCTAGAATCATCATAACATGAACAATACTCCTTACCAGTCTCTTCGTATGTATTTACGAATGAAAAATGCAAACTGCCGGACTCCTAAAAGTATCAGCAACATGATATTAAATGAATTCTAAAACAGCTCTTGATACTTTGAAGACTTCATTCATTCTATTAATTCTGCTTACCTCTGTGGAGTAAAATACTGCATCAAAGCACTAGTTTCTATTATAGCAGTAAACAGCATGATCGATGCAAAGAGATGAAGAGAGTACAATGGAAGAATGGCCTAAAATGAATGAGTGGAAAATGCAGAGAACAAACAATGTAAGTCGTGAAAAAATAAGAAGGGAGAAGCTAAATATGTATGTCGAGGCATAGAGATGAAAGTTTGCTTTACCACTCACCCATAAACACGGTTCTATTTTGCCCTGCACCAACAGTAGTACCAATGGCCAACGACATCGTCGCTCACTTGCTTTTCCCTCCTCAATACATCCTTTCCAGGTCCTGGCGGGAAGTCTGCATCTTGTTGGGTCCATCTCTATGCCGTCTTACTCATTTACTGCACCCCATTCACGCCACGTTTTCTTGCTCTTCATTACTATTCTCTCAGCAGTTCTATACTACATCATTCCCGCGCAAAATTCTATAACACTGTTTTCAGCCTGCCTGTATGCCAGCTGTATACATAGTACCCTTCTTCTCTCAATATGATATGTTGGGAAGGTTGCCTCCATAGCGTTCCTCTCAAAGTTATTGGGCTTGCTGTTGACATCGATCTCGCATCTAACTCAAACTCTTCTACTATTTGATGCAGTAGTTAATCTTGTTAATTACTTAATCTTACTATATAGATAGCAACCGGAAAGTGAAAATTGAGCTATTAGAATAATAGATTGGTCAGCATAAACTGATAGGTAAATAGATTCAGATAGATGGATAGACAGATGGGTTGGTAAATAGATAGAAAGATAGGTATGGATAGATAAGTGATAAAAAACTAGAAATAAATTGTTAAATAGATATACGCGAATATATGAAAACATATGCAGGTAGAACTACTTCTCATGGATGAGTATGCGAATTTCTTCCACTTGTATGAGATAGATTTGTAGAACTACTCAGGTTCTCACTATAATACGCAGAAAGGGAAAAACTGAAAAGTAATATATTTATGAGAAATTGAAATTTGTTTATCGATATCTTCGAATCCTACTGTGCTACATTGGTATCTCTCTATACTGCAGAAATCATGAGGCGTCTTAATTTAACAGACCTCATGACAACTTGACATCAGCTAGTATTTTGTTTGTATATTCTTTGTTAGTACGTCAGATTTTGAGCAGTTTGCAGGCTGCAGCATTCTTCCAACTCTAATTTCCTTTTACGATCTCTGACATTAATTATAACCGTGAATTGATTTGTCTATCGCTAGTGATTTGGAGTTATTCGGAATCGTGAAATTTGGAAAAAATTAGATTGAAGATAGAAATTTCAAAAATTCGTTATTGCAGTTTGTAACGATATGGCTGGAGGAAAAGGTAAAGCTGGTAAAGATTCAGGCAAATCGAAAGGCAAAGTTATTTCTCGTAGTGCCCGCTCTGGTCTCCAGTTTCCAGTGGGACGTATTCATCGTTTTTTGAAGCAAAGGTTGGTTTGAGCAATTCATCGCTTTTTGGTTGCATGTTTTTGACAGTTTGATTTTTACTAATAATGCAATATTAAAAAATAGTTGCGGAAGATAGCTGCATTTGGTTATGTAGGTCGTATGCTTACTAAATCATTGGCTGATTTTGAAACTAGAAATCAAGGGATATTAGATTGCATATGCATCTTCAAATCAAATCGATGGGGCTTTCATGTCTGGTTTGCATAAGTATGCAAATTTCTTCCACTTATATGAGATAGATTTGTAGAACTACTTCTCATGGACGAGTTGGTGCAACAGCAGCCGTTTATAGTGCAGCTATCTTAGAGTATCTTACTGCTGAGGTGCTGGAGTTAGCGGGCAATGCTTCCAAGGACTTGAAGGTGAAACGGATCACTCCGAGACATTTACATCTGGCAATTCGAGGTGATGAAGAACTAGATACGTTAATTAAAGCCACGATTGCTGGAGGAGGTATGTTAACCATGGTTTTTATTTCATTAATTTTACCATTTTCTTTGTTTCAAAATTTATGGTAGTCGGGTTACTATTTTGCCATGTTATCATTATTTGGTTTCAGTATTTTCTTATTTCAGGTGTTATACCACACATTCACCGCTATCTAATGAGCAAGAAAGGGCAGCCAACTTCTACTCAGAAACAAGGGACAGCCTGAAGTATCTAACGAATTGTTCGATTGTTTTTGTCTTTTTCGACCAAATGCATGCTTCTTTAATTGTTTGTGATACAATTGTATTTTTGAGTGCGTATATTATCTGCACTAAACTGTGTCCTTCTATCACATCGCACTGTCATTTTTAAGATGTGATACTATAGTTATTACCATTATTTTCCTTCATATGCTTTTGTTTAAGTACAGTTTGTCGAAATCTTTCGCTTTATTATTAACATATGCGATAATGAAGAGTAGGTTTCATTAACTGTACCATTATTTGCATCATTTATTTAGCCATGTCTTGACATTTAGTAACATTGCAGTGGTGTCTAAATTTCGCTTATTTTTGTTTGTTTCATGGTTTCGGATTTGCAAACATAAATTGTTGAGATCTCTTTTGTACTTCTATATAGATTTAAGTTGTTTATGGAATTTGATATTTACCACGATTAATTTTCATAGATTAATAGTGGTAATGGTTTGTTTTGCTCTGGATTTATTACATTTAATTTCTATTCATTATGAATAGCGCAGATAAACATATTTTTAAGTTTGCTGCATTAATCTCTTACATGATAATCAGTTTTTATATTTTGATAGAAAAGCTACGTTTCGTGGAAACGCTTACAAGGTAATAACGTGTGTTGCATGGAGACTGCTCTGAGGTAATTGGTGTTGAGTTGGAGGAGGAGCAGGGGTCAGTAGTTTTCTATTTTATCATTCTTAGAAGAGCATTGTGTTCAGGGATGTTAGTGTTTCATACTGTACTTTTTTTTAAAATAAGATGTTAATGGAGGTTCTGGTATAGTTTGGTCTTTGTTGATTAGAAAGTTATATGTAGGCTTCCCATGGATTATAAGAAGTGTGCGTTTTTGATAAAAACATCTTGCAGTAAATATCAGTTATTTCAATCGCGTGATATACGCAGACCTGTGCAGACTTTGGTCTATACTTAATTAAAAGTATGAAATTAGATGGTAATCATACGAAAACATCAAAACAATACAGTGAAGAAAGGTTTGAGAAAGTAGATGAAACATTTGCTCGTTATTATAATGCAGCTGTGATAGAATCACTTTCACAATAATCATTATATTTAGTCGCTTTGTTGAAAGCATAAAAGCACTGAGTTCAGAGATGAGGTGGGAGAGAAAGCGCAGACAATAATAAAGGAGTCGTCATCAATGAGTGAAAAAAAATAATGCTTGAAATTAAGCATTACTGAAGCGACGAGTGCCAGTTTCTTCCTTCGTACCAGACTTGACATGTTTGTTGTGGTAGTGCATTCCGTTCCGTTTCCAAGTAATGAAGGCTGCAGTGAACTGACATGCATGCTAGCAGCCATGTGTGAACTAAAGTAAATTTAATGATAATATTTGAATAGCTTGTTTTTTTTTCCCTGAACTTTCATGGCTTTTTTGTTGAAGCAAAAAGCGATTAACATTATGAATTACGATTCATTAAATCATGCATGAAGAGAATCAAGAAAGGAATAAAAGAGTTGCAATTTTAATTCAAAAAAATGGAAGTGCGTGATAAGTGAGTGAGTCGTACCGAGTTATAAAGTAGCCATGACAGAAAAGATAAAAGGGAATCTGTTTCTAAGGAATGAATTTTGATGTCAGCAACAGATGAAACACAGTTAAAATATGAGAGTAATAGTGTTCACCTTTGGAAGAAACGATTTACATATTATCGAGAAATCTAAAATGGTATTATACAAACCTAGTATTAGTTTCAATTCTGGATAAACTGTCAAAAAAAAACACCAAAACGCGAGTATCTGGAGGGAAAGACCAAATATCGGTTTAGAAAATCCTATCCTTCTTTCAACATATGCTGAACCGCAAAATCCGTCATTGCAGTAAGTTCTCTATCATTCAACAACCGTCCCATATATATGTAAGAATTGATACGTGCATGGGAAAGTGAGTAGAAATCCCATTCATTCATTATATAAACTTCCTTGGGTCGGTTTCTCATCAATAAAATGGGGCCTTTGATGGGCTTAAAAACGTACGTTTAAACTCGCATTTAAAAAGCCTTCACTCTTTTATCTTAAAATTCTTTTACTACAGTCATGGATCATCAGTTAGCACTGAATGATTCTGTTTCTTGCGTATCTTGAATAACTGTTTCTGCTGTTTATGGTCAGTATTACATGTTTCTAGTTTCAAACCTAAACATTTATGTTCTCAGTCATCGCCTCGGTGTAATGAATAAGTTATCACCCTCGAGCTACAATATTTCCTGCTAACTCACCTGTGCTTCATTTATCCCTTGCTTTTGCACTTCATTCTGATGTTTCCAGTTTCCTTCTTATAATTAAGTTGAATTTCAGTTCTTTTTTTCTCTAGCTTTAAGCTTTCGTTCCATATCATGTCGTTCTTTCTCCTCAATCATTTCCAGGAAAGTTTTCTTGCTTCATCATCTTGAAAACTCACACTTCTTTTGCTTTATTCTTTGCATTTTCTTTCATTCTTTATTCAATACCTACTTAATTCTTCTTGGTCCCATTGCCATTGTCCTATATCGTTTGAATTTACTTTACTACATTTTATTCTATTTGTGCCATAGTTTTCTGTTATTCCCTCACGTAAGTTACAATAATTAATGGTAGTAGAAATGATGGTGTGACAGAATGCCGAACATACAAGAGGAACAACTGCATTGGGCGAGACGAGAATCCATGATGTCATTAAATGGAAAATTTGTCATTTATGTTTTCAAATCTTTCATTAATCTTCACTAAAATTAGTTCAATGCTAATGATGCAGTCACCGAATGTTTAAAGTCATGTCTCTATTAGACATGAATGCTTTCGTCGTGCACCATTACAGAAGCTTATTGTAGTGACTGTAATCTCAGAAAGAAATGGCAATAATCTCCTTACCGCTCACCACTTTCACTTTACATGAAAGGAAAAAGGAAAGTGAGGGATGAAGTATACTCCCTCCTCTCTTCACGCTTTTGAAAGCCATTTCATTTCTGCCTTTGAGATCAAAGTCAAATGTCTACGCGTTTGCTCCAATTGGCACCATTCTTGTGCTGTCGTTACTTTTTTTGCCTATTATGATCAAACTCATAATTCTTTCTATTTGAATCTAAGTTTCCGCAACAAGATCGCTAGTCATGAATGAATGAATCATTTTAGCACCGGATGATTCATGTCTCTTCCGCAGCTCTAATAGCTACTCTAATAATTAAATACCATTTCTTATTCATTTATTAGTTTACAGCAGTGGATTGCCCTGAAACAGTTTTTTGTTCTTGTCGTTGTCGTTGTCATTGCCGTTGTTGTTGTTCATAAAGAGAAACTTTGCTGTCATTACCATTTATCATTTATCAAGTTTATGAAGAAATGCAATAAACCTTAATAACTTTTAACAAAGGCTTCTTCAAGCAATTACGATTATGAAGAGAAAACGAATGAAAGATTATTAGTTTTTGAATCCACATTAGTTTATTTTACGAAGCAAAACTTCCTGATAAACAAATCAGTGTAAGCAGTAAGCAGTAGTAGTTCGAACTATGATGACATAACTTCTCATCAAAATGTGTAAGACGTTAAAAAATCCATCTTTCAGCTCAGTACTGATACTTATCAGCGCATTATATTATAACACTATGACTGAGTTATAATGTTGTGTTATGAAAAGTGGTTCGTCAAAAAATTTTGAGTAGTAAATCTGTGGCTGATACTTGATTATGTGTGCATAAATTCTAGTATAATATATAAGAGTTCAATTCATAACTGACAGTATATGACACACTTGGTATTGTTAGCTACCAAGATTGTTGCAGTTATTTTCCCTTACTGTTTCTGTGAGAAAAGTAATCATGAAGAGTTAGTTCACAATTCGTTCACTCATTGTGCTCATGTTTGTCAGGTCTTTCTGAAGAGTTAGAAAGCGAATCTCTTGAAATGTAAACTCATTCGAATCTAGGATTTTAATTTAACTGTATAAGATGCATCCTACTTTCGGAACAATCATTAACAAGCTGTAACATCGTGTGCCTGCTTTAAATGAATTTACGAAAATGTTGGCAGTTCAGATGTATCAAATAGAATATAATCAACTGAGAGATTAAGACATATTTCCTCGATTATATTGAAAGTTATTGGTCATGTTTATATAATGTCATATTGATTTAGAAAGATATAATAATGAATTACACGCATATTATTTCTGTACAATGTACATAATTTGCATATTTGCTTCTTCATATTTGTGGTGCAATTTACGTTAGTCGGCTTCTGTGTTCTTCTATCATTCATTCTCATTTAATACAGCGAAAATTGAATTCGATGTAGAAAAAATTCTTTAGAGCAAAATAATACAAGAACTCGCCAGATTGGATCATAGATATTACAATGCAATTGCCAGCAAGATCTATTTTGCCGGGAACTGGCGCATTCTGAGAATACGTTTAAAGTATGAATTATATACTTAAGACAGATCTGTCTTACGCAAGTACTCATTCACAAATGTTAGAATGGGAACTTCAGAAAGATCAAATGAATAAAGTCTGTGACCGTAGAAATTATGGTCATGACCATAGCAAATACGTTTGAGAATTACACTGGTCTGGGGTTGTGCAACGACAAGTGTTTACAACATACCAACTACTCAAACTGTATATAAAATTTGGTATCTCAATTTCTGATCTCATATTCATGCAAACTGCACTTCAATCAATACTCAGAAAGCCAGTCTTATCGCGTTCACACTACATTCGCCACCTCTACAGTAAAATAGTTTACAGAAGCTTTTCAACTATGCAGCTAATGTCATTCATGCAAGCGTGACAAAGTGTGCAAAATCGAAAGAAGTGAAGACAGTCCTTCATCCAACCCATAAATTTGAGTATTGCAATAGAAGCTGCATGACAGCAACACTTCAGAGCACCGATCGTATTGGAGGCTAGGATTCATTTCGCAAACTTTACGTTGCCTTCATAATGTTTTGCATACTGGAAGTAAACAAATTTGCAGTGACTATTCTTAATGATTGTTGTAAATGATGTTGCTATGGTTGACTGACGTAATCATTTATATATATATATATATATATCATATCATCTGTATTCATGTGTTATCTTATCTTGTTTTCACGTCTGGTACCGTCTCTATGAAGTTTTGTTAAATTTTTATCAGAATTTAGATCTGAAAATAATTTATGAACAACTCTGATATATCTTCTTTGAAAGTGCTGCTTGAAGTATCCAAAAGTACATACAGTTTTTGATATGGTTTCATACTTTTGCATTCCTGGTTTTGCAGTTATTTCATTTACAGTTTGGGTAGTGATCCGATTTATCTTAGTAAATACAAGAAAAAAAAATATCAAATCAAACATAATTTTGAGATAATTCTTGTCATGATTTCACTTCACATATTTAGTGGTTTTCAAACAAATATCACTTACGAATGCTCACCAAAAACAAATGGATGACTTATTATTGTTAATTTAAGAAAATGAGTACTCCTGCTGTGTACTGTTTGTGAGGTATAAGATGTCATTGTGCATCACTATCGAGAGCTATGTATATACTTTGGTGTGATTTGTTTACAGTTGCGAATGAATTATCCTAATGGGCGTCTTTGTCATATTTTGTTAAATGGTGACAATAATCGCATGCTTATAATTTTTTACTTTTTCGGTTAAAAGTTTCAAAAAGACTGAAAGTAATCACTACCAATCACTGTTTAATTATTTGCTTAATAATATGCAGCTACCTGCTCAGCTCCACGTATATAATAATAAAAGTATTCAGATATATTGTTTCATTTAGTCATTTCTGGCTAGACGTTACGCTGAGTTGTGTTGAATTTTTTTAAACGTTCAGTCTTAAATTCTGTGCTTCATGATGTTACTTTTTTTAAACGGATATTTTCGCATACAATTTTTTTTACTGGCAACATAAGGGATGTATAGTGAAAATACATTTTGGTGTGTTTTTTGTCTTCCAAATGAATAGTTGCTTGGGTTATAGTTTTTAGCTGTGTTTCAAAATCTATTGACTGAAATGGAAATGTCAATTTGAAAGAGCGAAATCTAAGATTAAGATTTAAAAAAAATGCACCAATGAATTTTCTGTTCACACTGACTTTAGGTCAGTATATTCAGCGTGTCCACTTTTTCCAGGGCTATGACAGAGGTGCTCCTTGGTCCCGATTTAGGCACATCACTTCAGCCAGACAAGGTTCCAGAAAATTCTCTGAAGAATGGAGCACCACGTTCTGAATTCTTTTTGATGACTGGGGATAAAATGATTATTTTAAGCCATAAATTATCTCCACGATACGCAGAGGTATTTAATGTGTCGTAGTGTAGCTTTGTTATCATGTAAACAATATTTAAAAGAGCAATTATGCTAACATTGTAATTATTTCTTCTAGAAATAGACATGACACCAAAAAACTTTAAGTTGGGTTTTCAGTTTCTGTGTGTTAATTTGAAATGACTTAGTAATTTTGGAAAAGATAAGTTTTAATTTGCTGAGAAATTTTTGTTCGTTTTCGTCATATATCCTCGTTTCATTTTTAGAAAACTTCAGAAAAAAATGCAGCTGACTAACCCCAGACTTATGATGATAAGAATTGTCGATGCAAGATTTAGATATTGGTTTTTGATTTTGGCAGACTATGCTGTCTATTCCTTATTTGATATTTATTTCTGTTTTACATGTAATAAGGAGTGTATCTAGATGCATTACGAACAGTTGCCACCAACAACAGAAACTGCAGATTTACTTGCACCAAGAAAACCATTTGATGATTTTCCTACGTTAATGCAAGAAAACTCAAGGGCTAGAAGATTCAGTCCAGAAACAGCAGTCCCTGCATCACAGTCTGAAAGCGGATTGCATGAAAAGGAACATCTTCAGGTTCTGCTACATATTTTATGTTTTCCTGAAATAACGAATACGAAAAACCACTAGAAGAGTTTTCATCATTCTGGTCCTGCTGAGGTTCTAATTTAGAATTTGTCTAGTCATAGATGAAGAATCATTTCGGAAATAAAACTTGATGTAATTTAAGGATATGATCAATGATGAAAAGAATTCTTCGGTCACGGTAAATATGGATAGGAATAATCAGTGCGTCCTGGTCCGCGAAAATGGATCTGTAGCTACTGTTTCATTATCATCAAATTATAATAATTTTGTGATTCCTCATAGTCCAGAAATCAAGCGTTCTGTCACTGTAAAACCATTTGAAGCCAGTCATAGTGAACCAAACAGTCCTGCAAAGGCATCTGTTCCCATTTTAAACAATTTTGTATCAACAGTGAGATGTCCATCTCCTTCAGGTTAATAATTATATAAATTCAAAAACCAACTATTAAGCGTTCTTAATAGCAATGTGACTGTTCATACTTCAAAAGTAGTACAATGTATAAAGCACTGCTTGTCTAGAAAAGTTATAATTCTCTAATATAAGCAAACTTCCTGTATTTTCCATTACATTCATAATGTATTTTCGTAATCATTTTCTCGATTTTTGCTGTTTCCTGTCATCTTAGAACGCTAATTCATCCCTCTAATTTTCTCAACAAAAAAAAAATCTCAAGAATGTACTCGAATAAGCGTATTTTTCTTATAACAAAAATCATAAAAATCAGTTATCGCTCTGAGCACTTTTTTTTGTTCTGATGCATTGTGTATTCTTTATAATCCCACTTTAAAATATAGAAAGATGTCGTTTTAGATTACGATAGAATATCAGATTTTGATACCGAAGCGCCCATACGACTTGCCAAAAGGCTATTTACATTAGATGGTTTTAAAAAAGAAGATGTTGCTGCACATTTGTCGAAACTGTAATTTTTTTAGAAATTTCATTTGCTTCTATGACACCAACTTCTGACTGTATTTGTAGTTCTGACAAAAAAAATGGAACGGAAATATTTGTGAGGAAGGAGTTTTTTAGACTAGGAAGCTCATTAAAAGACGAAAGTCAGTTGCACAATGCTTACTTTTAAATAAGAGTAATATACTATATCAGATTGGTATCTTAACTTTTATTTGAAACAGCTAGTTCCAGGTTTGGCATACTGTCCTATGTTTAGAAAAAGTGGTAGCTTGGTTTAGTGTTGTAGAGAGAGCGTATACATTACTATCAAAAAATTTAGGAATGAATTTGGCATATCAGTTGCTGAAGAATACTGCACTTTGTTCAATTTTTCGGGGATTCGGTTAGATGCAGCGTTACGTGATTTTCTATCGAGGTTTTTTCTGACTGGGGAAACTCAGGAAAGAGCTCGTATCATCGAACATTTTGCTAAACGTTATCATGAATGCAATCCGACGCTCTTCAAAAGCATAGGTAAGCGTTATTAAAAATCTACTCACCTACATAAATTTTGATCGCCAACAAAAACAAATTTTTTTAAAGTGTTCGGTTGATGACTTCTTAAATATCAATTGATATTAGCTGTATAATATGGTATGTCATCACAATTGGACGAGCATAAGATCTTCTGTTTATTAATTTATTAAAAAAATTCCTGAATTTTCAGACCAAGTCCATGCGCTGACCTGTGCTTTATTACTGTTGAATTCGGATCTTCATGGTCCGGTATGCTGTAATTTCAATTACCAGCAGTTTCTCGTACTTACCAAATAAATAAATCTATTGCTTATTCTTCAAAATAGCAATTACCTATTTCTCTGGAAGCAGAAAAATTTCAGTTTTCTCTTGATTTGAAAATCCGAGCAAAATAGGCTTTTCAACATTTTCGATTTATTTCTTAAAGCTCTTTTCATTTTTTGTTTTATCCAGAATGTTGGAAGGAGGATGTCTAGTCGAGATTTCGTGGATAATCTGGGCCAAACAGACCACATTTTTGACTGTTCTCTGTTGAAAACTTTATATTTAGCTATCAAAGAACAACCTATTAAATGGGTTGGGTATGTTTCTTACACTTTTATCTTTCAATTTTGTTCATAATTATTTTACATTCTTTGGTAGCTCCAGATACGGCTTTAATGAAAATATTACTTTCAGTGAATTAAATGCACTAACTAATGATGTATCAGTGTTAGAGGATACTGCTTCGCAATTATGTGAAAAAAAAAAAAAGGTTTTATCAAAATCGCGGTCAACAGTGGGTGACGATGATCAGATTGAGTATAAATCTGGTTGGGTCGTGAAGAAGTGTTTATTTGACAGGGATGGAAAACGAAGTAAGTCGGTTATTTCGCAGTTTTGACAAAGTATGTACAATCATATCAATCTTCCAAAATATCGTTCTTTAGAATACTTTTGACATTTTTTTAGTTTATTATCGCTGGTATTATTAATCATTGGGTCTTAACCATTAAACTATTTGCGTTTAGCTCCATTTGGTCGCCGTGGTTGGAAGATGGTTTATGCTCGACTTCGTGGAATGGTTCTATATTTGCACAAAGATGAAAACGGTTTCCGTCGTGGTTTTTTCCAGACTTTCAATAATGCTATTCTCTTACATCATGCACTAGCGGAGAAGTCTGAAACCTATAGTAAAAGGCAACATGTATTCAAGTTACGGACGGCTAATTTCGGTGAAACACTTTTTCAAACAAGGTATTTTACTTGACCGAATATTCATTCAATCTTTAATCATTTTATGAACATCGCTTTATTGGGTCATTTTTAAAATTTTTCTCAAGTATGCTTGCCACAGTGTAAGATCAAAAAACTTCAGTGATCCAAATGAAGTACAACAGTGGGTTGATACAATTAATTACGTTGCTGCAGCATTTTCTTCTCCAGCGCTACCAGCTCCTGTTTCAAATCAAACTGATGTTTTTCATAAACCGTTATTACCAAGCGCGCCATCAAGCTTGTCCATAGTAAGTGCTCATGCTATGGGTAGAGCGGAACAATTAGGAACTTGAACTGTGCCTCATGAACTTGATTGCAGTTTGAATTCAATCACTTTGCTTTATTTTATAATGAGAGGAATTTTTTGTAGTCTGAACAATTGAAAGTTCATGAAGAGAAAGAGGAAGAAATGCGGCTAAGATTTGAAGAGCTTATGAAAAAAGCACCTTCTTTAAAAGCTAAGGGTCATGTTGTACAAGAATTTTTCTACAAAGAACATTTTCTGCATCAGGAAGTAAGTTGCTTGTTTTTCCGTTATATTGTTTACATTCTCTATTTTATTAATTTCTGCACTTGAACCAAAAATATGCATCTATACATAGCATCATTTAGTTTATTATTACATTTCCTTATTGCTCTTTATTGACATTTATAAAAAACATGTTTTCAAGCATTCGCATGTTCAAAAAGATTGGCTTTATAGAAGAAACGTTATCAACGCTATGCCGAAATTTTGCGTGAACATCTTAGCGCTCTCTCACCATCACATTCTATGGCAATACGTGTTGACCCTCTCATAGGAATCTATCGAATGGGTGATACTCGAAGGTCACCTGGTACTATGCAAAGCAAAGTAGTTGGATATACAGGTGTTGTTGAGGAAGAGCCAGAGGCAGAAGCAAAGGCTGAAAAAGCTGAAGCGGAAGATTCTGATTTAGAATCCATTAATTCAGATACAAGCACTAGCCGATATAGTTATCAGGAAGCAATATTGCAAAATCCAGGTTCTTCTTTGGTTTTGTCTAAGTGAATTAATTTGTAAAGCTCAGATTTTAGTATTATTTGTCACTGTCAAGTTTATATTATATTTTTTGTAAACTGATAAAAATTCTATTGTACATAACTGAGAGAAGTTTTGAGCTGGATACTTTACTGTCATTGACCATACGATATGTAAAATTTAATAATTCAGTTTATTTAATATATCTAGTCATTATATAATGCTTATCTTAATTTTAAATTACCATGAGTATTATGGTACCATAGAACTTGATCCACAATTGTCATCATCTTGTTTTGATGTTTTTTCATGCATCATACTATATTTAAGTGTAATTTGTGCTCTCATCTCAAGACTTCTTTCGAAACAAATGGTTTCATGCACATAATGAAGTAAATATTTTTTAAATTGTATACAGTTTTCTCAGTACTTCATATTTTTTCATTTTATTAAACTATAGGGTAATGTCAGCAATTAGTTTATGCCACGGGTGGACTGTCATGGGTACCAATATAGGAATTAAGGAGGTTTTTAAAATTAGTACTCATATGATTCTGAAATAAACGTATTTTTAGATCTCATGCAGTCAGCGATCACACTTTTATTCAGAACAATTAATCTAATTTAAAAGTCCTTATTTTTTCCTTTAGCATCTCGGTCTTTAAGTTGAACGTTTTGTTTTGCAGTTCTTCATTATCTTCTTCATGGAAATATATTGTAAAAAAATTAATTTTATCAAACAGTGATTTCTCAAAAAATATGCACATTTTCATTGCGAGGAGTGCACTTATCATTGTCTTAAGTAAAAATCGCATTAATTATTTAAAAATGACGATGTACCTTGAAACACTCGTTTTACATTTTAATCATTTCAGAAGATGATCTCTTTACTCTACTTAAATATTTCATGTTTTTATACAAATTAATGTAACAATATCTGTGAATAGTCTGCGACAATTTAAGATCCGGAAGTAATTCGCAGTAAGAAAAGTTATTTGAAGAGGCATGTTATAAATTGGTCGACTGTATGTTGCAAAAAATAACGCTGCAATTAAAGAAAAAGTTATATTTCGATATAATAATAATGAATGGTTTGTGAACGACTGTAATTGATAAGAGTTGATGTGCTTGTAATTTTTTCATCGAGCTGTATATTTACGAACCTTGATGAGTTTTGTATATAGTACTAATTATGAGCGGAAGTTTTAGTGTGAATCCTGTTTTTGTACCTAAATGTCCGCAAACTGTGATGTAGTCCTTTGCATATTACGTCTTTTTCGACTTCAACATTCTCATACGCAGTGTTTTATTTGAATTGTTCATGCTCTTTTTGACGCAATCAAAGCGAATGCACTCGTTCGCTGCATTTACAGCTTCTCTGCAATGTGTCGTTTACAACTAAAACTGTCAAAAGCATCTCTAAATGCTATTTTTCGAAGTATCCATTAATTTAGCAGCGTATACAGTTTGCGACAAATTGAGCATGCCATACCGATAGTTGTTCACAAATGTTTAGAAGCTGTCGATAGAACATTCGTAATTATTTTTGTTGTTCTGCATATGATAGAAGTAGTTCAATATGAACTAATGCTGCGATATGTGCTTTCATCTATCTTCATGTATGATTTATTTTTCAAGAAGTATGATGTGGTATTGTGCTGCGTTTAGCTTATTAGAATGAAGTTTTGTAAAGGCTGGAGTAAGTTGTTATTGGTTTCATTTGTTTCATTATGCGTTACTTTACGAAGTTTTATATTTACAATGGCGGATCATCGCGTAAGTTGCTTACACATAAGTTAGTAATTGTTTTAAAAAAATTAGGAAACGAAATTAGAGTTTCTTAGACTGCTGATTAGTTTGCAGATGTTTATCAGAAACAGGTCGATGCAGTAATCGGAAGTGTATTCTTGATTAAGAGACATACTTGTTTTTAATAAACGTGAGCATGAAGCGCACACTGGTTCATTTTGAATTAGACATTAGGAAGTAGGTCGATCGTGAGGAGGTAGGAAGCTGTTTCATTTCTGAGATCATGTGAGCAGTAATTTTTCCTGTGTGATGAACATGAACTATTTATTTATTTTCAGGAAGTGGTTCTCTGGTAACACATCACATCCAATGCTGAAGATGTCCGATAACACATCACATCCAATGCTGAAGATGTCCGATAACACATCACATCCAGCGCTAAACTTTGTTGTTCGTTTACTGCTTTATTAATTTTGCTGGTCCATGGACATCTCTGTTTGTATTCATGGAGATGTGCATCCGCTGCATTCATTTGTGACTGCTTACCATCCTACTTTTCTTTCTTTTTAAAATGTGCCTATTGTGTGGTCTATAATCATTTTTGTTAGACGAAATTGCTACTACGTATTCTTCTACACTCATGATTTAATATTCACGTTTGATTGCAGGGTTGGTTTGTTTTGCTTTATTAGGAGACGGTTTTGTTCTTATAAGGTTAAAATATCGAGTACATGTTAGAACCTAAAGATTATTAATATGACGCTCGTTATATCCTTACAATGATAAGCTAGAGTATCATTATTAATCGTTTACTTCACATTCTACTGGCGCTGTCTGCCCAACATTGTGCGCAAAACTTTTAAACCAAACTAGGTAACTTAACTTGAGTTGTATTTAAAAAGCTGTGTTCTATAAGACCAAAAAGATACGATTTGTTGTCACATATTTGTATTCAAGATTTCACCAGTATTATTTGATCAGTTTAGTCGTGATGTTTTTCTTTTTAGTTTTTGGCAGTTATATTTAAGAAACATTTGCGCACGTTTATATATATATATATTTTTTGGATTTCTTACAGCTTTGACAAGTTACATTCCTCTAACGCTTCCTTTTAAATAAGTAAGGATATAGCAGATTACTTAAATTCATGGTAAATGAATTAGATATCTCTGAAATTTTTGTGTATAGAAGTTTAGAATAAATGAACAGTTAATATCCATAAAATTCAATATTTTTGTAAGCACTCAAGGAGATCACGAGAAGGTTCTCTTTACAAGTCGAATTTATGATATTGGCATTCACCGTTTGTTTAAGATCAAGTTACTCTATTTAAAGATGTATTTTACTGTTACTGTGCTTAATTACTTTTACTATTTCTTGTTCGCGTGCTGGAATCTTTTTCGTGGAAAAACAACATCAGGATGAATATATATAGCTGATATATGTCACTTGTTTAATGACATATGCATTAGTGATTTCAGTTAGTTTCAGTGTTCCTGATGACTATCAGTCGTACTTTTCAAGTCGTATTCTGATTATTAGTATGCATAAAAACCATAATCTTGTTCTAGGAATTGCCGCCTTTGATCCAGTTAATAACAATGCGGGATATTGATGAACAACCTTTAAGCCAGCAGCAAGAACAGGATATTGGGACTACACAGGGTATTTCTTAAATTTAGAATTTTTGCAATTTATAATAGCAAATGTCAGAGACTATAATGTGAGGAATTAACTCGTGTCAATGATCAGAAATGGTACATGATATCGTACCATTTCTGATCATTGACACGAGTTAATTTATGAATTTTCTATGATTTATGTCTTCACATACTTTTATATCAGTGCTAGTATTTCATATGCTCTCACATTCTAAATTGGTGCTTATTCTTTCAAAAGTTTCGATTAGTGAAATTGGATTGGTGAGTGACCTGTTATGAACTGGATTTATGTTATGTTTGGTAATTAAATGGCTGTTTTTAGATCAAGCTTGTGATGATGCTCAAAAATTTTGTTTGTGTGGAAGTAGTGATGAGTCGTCGTTTATGATATGCTGCGATCATTGCGGAATCTGGTACCATGGGGCGTGCTTGCAGGTGATTTCTTGGTTGATTCCTCAACGATTCTTCCATTATAAGCTATAATTTGTAGCAAAATAGTATGCTAGTTTTTTTAACTTGTTAGCTAAGATTTTATTTAAATACAATTAATTCAAATGGTAATTGTATATCTCCACTTTCTTGATTCATTTCAGGTTACTCGTGTCCAGGCAAAGCGTATTGAAACATATGCTTGCCCTCCTTGCATCAGCAAAGATCCAAATTTAGCAATCATATATCGTGCTGCGGTGGGTTTGATCTTTTAGTCACTGTTTAAACGAAAATTTCTCACAATTTTTTTTCGAAGGAATTAATCGTACTAATAACTCTTGCGTTGATTATTTTTAATTTTCCAGAAAAAAGAGCGAGAAAAGGGACTGAATCAGGAGCAGCAACATAAAGTTAGAAGAAACAGAAATGATAGCTCGGTAGAAAGTTCGTCGAATCGTCCTGTAAAGGAAGAAAATGGTTTGCTTGTTGAGACCCTCCTGTATTATTTCACAATTCCTTATCAAGAAAATGAATTAGATCGTTTTATCGTACGAGTTGAATATGCTGTCTAAAATTATTTCAGAAAAAAGACCTGCTCAAGGATGCAACAATTGTATTAATTGCTTCCGATTAACAAATTGTGGGAAGTGTGCCAACTGTCATAACTCTGTAGAGCCATGCTTGAAACGGATTTGTTTACAGTCTGATTGGTGGAACAAGTACAAAAAAAAGCAGCCTTCATCCAAAGATGCAAGTGTTACAGAAGAAAGTGAGGAAATCGACAGATCTTATCTTTAATTTCATGCTTGTGACCAGTTTTTTGGAGGAATCATCAGATTTAATTTTGCATTTCTTCCACAGTTTTTTTTCAAGACTTTCTCTTCTTGGAATTTCGTTTCACTTTTAGTTTATTGTTTGGTTCACTTTATTGTTCAATCGTTTAAGATGATACTCATGTCAATTACCATTTTTAGCGACACAGTCAAGTGTATACTCAGTTTCAGCGAGAGGCAGGAAGCGACATATGAAATATACGCAGTGAGTTGTCATTATTTTTTGATTTGCATTGTTTTATGTTCAGTTGAGTATTATGTATTATGTTTTAGCTTTACAACGGACGATGATGACGATGAGATTAAAGAATTCAGTAAATCCGAAAATGTTTCTACAAATTCATGCCTTGGACCATCTGGCTCTAAAAAAGTGAGGAAAAAGTTACGAAGAAAAAAGAAGGGTAGAACTTGCCAGGTTTTTTTTATTGTCGGTTTTTCTAATTTCTCTCAATGCTTATTTGTTAAAACCTTGAAATGATTGAAAAAATTATGATATTCAATTTTTTTTTCAGAAACGTCAATCTGATTTCTTGAGTACCATGAAAAAGTCTGAAATTGTCCATGAATCTAATTTACTAACAGGTTTACTCTAAAAAAATTCATGATCAGTTCTCAAATTATTTATGGGAGTTCCATTCAACTCATTAATGATTTAAAAAATTTTTCAGAATACCGTAGAGAATTTATAAACGCTGTATATAATCGTGCATTTCGTCAGGAGTCGGCATTTCGTCAGGAGTCGACCAGGAAGGTTGGAAATTGAAAATATTAGTAATACTCGTGGTTTGTGCTGCCAAGCTTCTTATTAATTAATTGGAAATGAAATGAAGGACTGTGTTATTTTGTCAAACATTTTTATAGCTTAATGGCAGCTTATTTTTTCTAGAACAGTGAAAGACAATGTGAGGGACCGAGTTGTACAAATTCCTCACGCCCGACATCTAAATATTGCTCTGATATCTGTGGTTTGAATTTGGCTCGCGTATGCCTTTTAATTCAAATTTGAGTTATTGTTTTCTCGAAAGACAGTGTTAGTTGCCGAATATGTAATTACTCAAAATTCAGGTTTACTGTGCGTAAAGCGGAATTATATAATCTCTTATTTAGTTTGTTTTGTGTATCTGTAATGCACTTTGGTGGTATAAAGTTTTAGATTTCCAGAATCGTTTACAAACTATTTTGCCAAAGCGCGTTGAAGAATATTTCAGTGGAAATACGCATGATATTCAGCGGTTAGAATCCCTAAAAAATATTGAAGAAAATATCCAGTCTTTAACGGTATGAAATCTTACTGAATTCTCTAAATAATGTTGATTTTGAGGTGCTCAAGCAAGATTTATGTCGTTGTATTCGTTGATCCGTGTGTGTTATGGTTTCAGAAATTTTTCTATTTTTTCTTTAAAAAGTCACCTGTTTTTAATTTCCTTGCTATGTACTGCAATAAATGAACTCAAGCAATTCTGCTCTGCATGATGGCCAGTGTTTTTGTAAAATCTTTAGTTTTACAGAAAGTAGTTTGAAATATTGACTTGAGAGATAGTTTCCCCAATTTTGTCATCAGAATGTCATTTATTGACTCTTTTTGAGTTACTGATCTCTTTAAATATGTAATTACTTAAAATTCAGGTTTACTGTGCGTAAAGCGGAATTATATAATGTAAAAAATTATATAATCGATTATATAATTATATAATCGTATAATGTAAAAAATGCAGTAGCAAAAAGCAGCAATTCACTTTATTTTAAATGTAATTTTCATGTCCTGGATTTTTTATCTAGCTGGAGTTGCAAGTTTTATTTTATTTTATTTTATGCTGAAGCTTCTCAACAAACCTCAAATTTACCTGATCATGCTTTTTTGCAGAATAAAGTTCAAATGTTCGCGGACTTTAAAGATAGACTCAGAAATTGGATTTTGGTACGTATAAAAAACATACATCACTAAGAAAAATGGCTTTCTTTTCGTTTTCATATATTTTTTATGAAATCAGTGTTATGTATACAATGTTTCATTAACTGACTTTGACAATTTCGTGAATATATTGTTTCTAAAGTTTTTATATTTATTATCATTTATATTATGATATTCCATTATATTTAATTATTATGTCCAGGCAACTGAAAAAATCGAACCGCGGAAAGAAAATGCTAACAATCCATCACTAGACATGGACTTCGTAAACAATTTTCTTTTTTGTTTTAGTATCATTACTACTTTATTCATAAGTAAATGAAAAATTCTAAATATATCATTTACACTACTTTTTTTCATAAGCCAATAGAAGTTTTTAGAAGTCACTCAGACTTTTATAGTCTTCAAATTAAGGTACTTCATTGTGCTGTCTGCGCATTAGAGTTTCCAGCCAAACAAATCTTGAAACATATGGACCGGTGTTTTGTACGCATTGAAAAGCAAAGTTGCTATGGCACGCCAAATAAGGTTTGCACACTGACTCTTATATGCAGAAAACAGTTTAAATTGTTGTAATTTTTTGCAATAATTTTTTTTTCAGTCAACAGTCAATCCTTATGATTTATTTTGTGAGCAGTTTAATAAGGCCAATAACACTTATTGTAAGCGCCTTCGTGTATTATGTAGTGAACATTACAAGCCTTCTGAGGATGTTACAAAGGTATAACAAAAACTTCAGTTTCTTATAATCTTCATTTTAATATGTGTTTATCACGAAAATATTTTTACTTTTATGTCAGAAAATTTCTGACTATGGCTTCTAAACTGCAGTGTTAATAATCATAAAAATCGAATGGTCATAAAAATTGAATGGTTGGTCTTTTTCTTGAATGCGATTAACAAACCTAAATATACATTTAAGGTATGTGGTTACCCGTTTTCATGGAGCAAAAGTGAACATCGTCCTGTCATTAAAGCATTTGAAAATCTGGATGGTCTGTTGCGAGAAGGATTTTGCTATCAGCGACGTAAAGATTGTCTTCAGCATCATAACTGGATACAAGTGTGTAAATCTATATTTCAAGATATATGACTTCGTGCACATTTCCTGGTATACCAAATAAAATAATTGAATTTAGAATGCCTTGGGACTAATCAGTGTGGAAATGCTCAATCTTTTGATCAAATTGGATGAGTGGTTTGAACGGAAGCGTGCTCTCAATGTCATGGAAACCATGCGTGGTGATGTACTCTCTCTTCTTTGTAATAAAACTGTTCGTTGTGATGTATCAGAGGATGAAAACTCTGAAGATATGACAGTAGACGTCGTGTCAGATGGTTAACTTTGCAACTCATAATTAATGAGTAGCCTGAATTTACAGCAGTTCAGACGGCATAAATATCTATTTGTGATTTCGGACTGTTTGTAATTCTGAGTGTGATGTGATTCACCATTAATTTTTTGAAAGCATCTGTGTTAAGGGAAAGTTTAAAGAAAGTGGATCCATAAGATTGTGCGAAATTATGGTGAATCATAATACCAAGTTTTGTCTATTTTAGTTGAAAATTTCGATCATTTTTAAAATGTTTCTCGTTGGTATATGTATTTCTCTTTTTGACTGCATGTTTGGAACACAAACAAATGCTAAATAAAAGTAAGCTTTCCTCTTCTTTTTTTTTTCTTTTTTACTTTGAAGGTATGCTATTTATATTCCATTTTTATGCAAGTTTCTCAGTGCAACACATTGATCTGCAAATATTTTGTTGCAATGTTTCAAGTAAATGTTGAAGGATTTCGGACATTAATTGCAATTATTATGGATCGTTTAATCTCTTTAAATACCTAGTCGATAAGTATCTATCCTCATAATCAAAATTTTAACATCTGTTGAAGATTTATAAATACTTTTTACTAACTTACCTCCCATTTTCAGTTTATTAACTTTTTACTGTCAGGATGGAATGTGTTTCGATATTTTTGCGTACCATCTTTAGTACCTTGGTGGATGAAATTATGGGACATTTTACAGCAAGAAGTTACTTCTTGATACCTTTACCGTTTCTAAATTATGTTCAGTGCTATTGTGTTACCCTCATAGCTCTTAAGTCGTAAATTTTATCGTCTTCGGTTGATTTACGTGTTTTTGTTTCCAGTTGTAAGGAGAACGAATTAGATTTTAGCTGGAGCTGATCGATTACTGGTCGTTCTCTGAAAAGTATTGAGATGGTTTATATTGGTATGTCATGACTTTTTGTCTGGAAGTTTCAAAAGCACTTTTATAGTTTTTAAGGTTTTCTATTGTAAGATTTCTCGGCAGTCTTAGCATGAATACGTTGGACAACAATACAATACTTCTTTTTGATGTCGACGGCACGCTAACCATACCGCGTCAGGTACATCACACTATATTAATTTCAGTTGTATTCCGGTTCCGAGGTTTCTGTCCGGCGGAATCAGTGTTTGTTGTTTTTTTTTCCTTTCAGAAGATTGACCAAACGATGAAAGATTTCATGATGGAAGTGCGCGAGAAAGTATCAACTGCTGTAGTCAGCGGTTCAGATATGGCTAAATTGATTGAGCAATTAGGAGATAACTTAAAGGATGGTAGAACTTTGTAATTTTGTGATAAAGATTATCAGATACTATACGTAATGGAGTATGTTTTTGTATTGTTTAGCTTTATGAGATATATATCTATTTGAGCACTGTTAATCAAAGGCGAATGGTTCTTGTTTCACATGCATATGCATCTGACTGTCTCTCTTTTCTGACTGTTGCATGAACTCTAATTCACTGTGTTGCAGTTCTGAGTTGTTTCGATTATGTATTTAGTGAAAATGGACTCGTGAGTTTCAAAGGAGCAACTCCATGCTGTCCACAGGTGTATCAATTTTTTTTAATTAGAACATTGACGTTGACTCACTATTGTAAACTGAGAGATTTTTTAAATTTTCACAGTATTTATTCTTTTCATGTTTTTCTGTCTTTGAAGTTGTGCCACTCAATTTTTTTTATTTATATTAGTGTTTTAGATAACTTTTCCACAATGAAATTTTTTAAGCAGTCGATAAAGCAATGTATTGGTGAAGAGCGATTGAAAAAACTTATTAATTTCACCTTGCGAGAATTTTCAGAAATTGATCTCCCAGTTAAACGTGGAAATTTCATTGAATTCCGAAATGCAAGTACCTTTTGCAGAGTCATTCACTATGTTTTATAATTTCCCACAATTTTTTGTAGGAGGCCAGAAGTGTGGTTTATAAAGATTTAAATCATGAAGCAAACCTTCTATGGGTTCTGCTTTAAAGATGAAAAATTCTAGATCATTAAAATGGCTCGGATAAACGATAGTGTCACTTTTACGACTTGACTTTTGAAACTATTATCGAAGTTCAAATTCAGGGAATGCTAAATCTCTCACCTATTGGTCGTAACTGTACTCAAGAAGAACGATTACAATTCGTAGATTATGATATGAAACATGGGATTCGGCAAGAGTTTGTCGAAAAACTGAGAAATTTTACAAAAGGATGGAATCTCAGTGTTTGCATTGGTAAAATGTGTTCATTTATCATACTTGGCATTTTTCTGATTTTCCTAATACTTAATTTCAGGCGGTCAAATCAGTATTGATGTATTCCCATGTGGATGGGATAAAACCTTCTGTTTGAGGTTTTTGACCGATTTTCAATCAATTCATTTTTTTGGCGATAAAACCTCGCCGGTATGCTATATTTTTGTGCTTGTACTATAATTTCTACTTGATCTCTAAGAATCCTTTTCTGCTTATTTGACTCGGAACTTCACTACACCTCGTAATTTATGTTTGTTTATAGGGAGGCAATGATTACGACTTATTTATTAACCCAAAAATTAAAGGACATACTGTTTTGAATCCGAAAGATACGATGGAGCAAGTCCGTAAATTACTGAAAACCCTATAATTGCATTGGTAGTAAATAGCTTTTTTTAACTTCCGATCGATCAAACTGTGTTTATGAGCAAAAGGAGTATGATGCGGATGATCGTAAGGTTACAAATGTTGAAGTGTTGCTTGTTGTTCGTTACTTTTCTTTGTTTACTGTCTTGTTATAATTGTCTGAAAGTTAGAGCAGCAGCATATTTATAAATGTCTTATGATAAGGGCTTTTGGAGCTAAAAAAATATGTTCACGATGTGGTTGTACGACTTAAAAACAGTGATTATCTGCAATACAAGATTAAATGCTTTAAGTTAATTGCATAAAGATAAACAATTATTCGAATATATAAATTATCTTATTACAATCACTGCGACATTTCTAAGTATTCCATTTTTTATATACGATGCAGAGGATGTGATGACTGTCGCCTTTATGCCACTTGGTGAGGTTCGAAATTAACTTAAAAAATCAGAATTTTATTTTACTGAAAAATTTTCAGAATTATATGGGAATGTTATGTGAAACATAAGCATATAAGGTAAGTATGTATTGTTACACGAATTCATAGATGATCAAAATAGTATTTTATTACAGATTAACAGAGAAGTCCATGACATGTGTATATTCGTAACTGGAAGCAGCACAATGGTAATAAAAAGTTGCAGCATGCTTGAAAACACGGATTCTTTAGTAATTTGCTCAACGGAAATGATTATGGAGCAAATAATCGCCATGTTACAAATGTTGAAGTGCGTTGTTTTCTACTCTGTAATAAGTTAAGGATGTGGATATAGGAAAATAAGTGGTTTAAAATTGCCGCAGATCTTACTGTCATGATCATAAAAGTAATTAAAATGAACAAAAACGCTTGCATGGTATCACTGCTTTGTTCTTGCCAAACACGGCGGTAAGATGAATATACAGGACAGAGGTCTCAATACAAATCTGAACCTGAAATATCAGCGAAATTCAATGAAGAAAATTTTTTTTCACTTGAATAGTATAAAATGATTATACAGTTTTATATATTGAAGATATTTTAGCACAAAAACGAATTCCTCACTAAATGCTTCAGTGAATGAGAAAAACATTTCCAAATACCGTTAGGGCAGTACGATGTGAGAGGTGAAGGAAAAATGATTCTACAGTATGTTAAGGTATTTGAAATATGATAAAAATTCAAAAATAGTTGTAGAAAATAGAGACTTTCTGCAGTTTGAAAATGGAATAAAATGACATACATACCCAGAAATAAAGATTTTTAGTTGACCAGAGTATGATGCAGTTGTGAGGTCCATTAGGAAAAAATAGGATTTGCTAAGCAATAGTTTTTAGTGTCGTTATGAAATTTCTTAAGTAGGCTGGAACAAATTTTCTAAAGATCAGCATGATGCAAATGATATTAAAATGTACAGGCTAGAAGACGTCGCAGTGATTACAAAATTGATAGAATCATCATTTTTTGCTCGAAATGATAATGAATAGGAATTAAAGGGATTAGATTCTGTCATAAATGACTTTTGTTATGAAAATCTGAAAACTGAAAAACTGACATTCGTATAGTGGAGCTATTCAGTTTTGACTCAAAGTTTGAAGTTCACAAAGAATATTGCTAACTGCTTGGTTAAAACTATCAAACGTTTGAAACAGTTCACAACAGAGAATATTGGACGCAGTCGTCGCATTCTTATCGTTTCATTGTTCCCACCTTTTTATCGTACCATGTGCAAGCGCAATCATCACTTTTACTCACTTCGAAAAAACCTGAAAGTAAAAAATTTGTGCGATAATAAGGCAATATTGTTGGGATCCAAATAATAAAGTTATAAAAGATGCAAAAATTTCTTTATTTTGATCAATTGCAATAAGACTTTGAACGGTCTTAAAGCCTCAATTGTTCTGTGCTTGCAATGAAGGGCACATTTAACAGGTGTGAGCTTCAGAAATATGCCTCTTACTCGCTTAAATTCTCTACATATGAAATCAATTATTCTAACCCTGTGCAGAATGAATAATATAGTTGTGTACAGCATGGCAACATGGTCTCATCAATCATTACCATTCGTATCACGGCGAGCATGGATTCCTTTTGTCCGTTCATTAGACAATGTATTTTGCTAGCAATTTGTAGAAATCAAATTATAAGTTACGAATGTTTCAGAATATGATATAACGAAAAATTTTTGAAGGAATGCAAAGGGAATATATTGAATTCCAAAAAAATATTAACAAAGAAATTATGGAACCTTAAATTTATATGTACATCTGAGCTGCTTGTAAGCCAGCATTAAAGCTTGCTTATATCGCTTATATCATACACCTCATCAAACAGTTACGACCAGGCAACCAAATTACAGAAGTTTGCCTCCATCATTCGACTCCAGCAATCAAATGTACTGTTATTTTTTTCAATGTACCTGTCTCCCTTAATCTGTGGGAAAAAAGTTGCATAATGACGAAAAACACATTGATAAAAAAGGATTAGGCTACCATTGCGCCACTGTTTATGTTGTGACTAGTTTCAGAGCGGCTGTTTTTTATAGAGTCGCTCATTATTTCGGGATATCTGTAGTGGTGCTATTTTCCTGGATCATATCGCACTAATTAGGTACCTTTGCTGGAATTCTAATAGTTTGAGGCCTGAAACAGAGTATATCTGTATTCATTGTTTTTTTTAAATATATATATAAATGCTAAATGCGGCTGATTTTTCGTGGAATTTAGCAATTCTCATATATGAAAAGCTTTTAATACAAATATACATGACTAATTATGGTAGTGGATTATCGTAATGAATTGAACTGCGATATTATCTCAAGCAGATTTCCTGTTTCAAGATTTCATAGCATCACTATTTTGTTAAATCCGTGTAAGAAAACACTGTTGAAGAAAGCCTGGATTTTCAGAGAGGAAAAATGGGATTCTGCTGAGTATAGTGTAGGAGATTTGTAGTAGTAATTCATTATTCATTTGAAATATTTCTTTTTTTTTTCAGAAATTAGTAAATCTGGTCGATTTTGCAACAGTGTTTGGTAATTAAGAAAGGTTAGACACTCATCAACAGCAGGAGGTTAGAGATTATAGAAACAAAAAAGAAGAAAAGTAACCAAATTACGAAATCACTCGAACAAGCCGCGCATTCGTTTTGCAGAACTGGAAAGGAACGTTACCATTGTTGCTTCCCCAAAAAGAAAGATGGAACAGGAGGATCAAAGTGTAAAGCAACCTGAGAAGGTGAATGTCATCTTCGAGGATTTGACAGATGAAGAAGAGGGCCATGCTTCTCAACAGACAAAGGTTATTAGTAACAGTTCAGCGGTAAAAAGTGAGGAAAATAAATACGGTAATACGAAGAAGAAAAAAGTGGAAGCAATAAGAATGTTTACAATACTAGACATCTTGACAGCTGAGGGGGAATTTGATGGATTTGGATCTGCAGAAAGAATGTGTAGTAATGTGTCAGAGAGTGCGGTTGAACATGAAAATAGAAACGTGAAAGAACATTCTCCGAAACCTATAAAAGAAAGAAAAGGATTAGCTAAACAAAAACAATATGTGAAAGAGATGAACTCAAAAGGGACAAATACGGTCGCTGAAGTGGCTGCTGTAGTACCTGAAGCAAAAGAGGATACAGTGAAAGAAAGAAATACCGAAATAAAGCAGACAAAAAAGAAGGAGTTCCAGAAAGAAATACATCACATATTGCTTGATGCAGTGGTAAAAGTAGGGATTCCAATGGTTCCTGGAACAACTGAAGTTGAGACGGCACAAAAAATCGCTGAAAGCTTGATAGAGGCAACAGAGGCTATCATGAAACTTTATGGAGATGTATATGGAGAGATTTCACCAAAGCCCATTACAGATGAGACAGCGCATACATCACTAGTTCCAAGCTCTGAACCAAACATTTTGCAAACTGGTACGCATATATTTATAATTAATATTTCAGTTTTGTAGCTAAAATTAATCAGCTTGTTTGATACGAATGAAACTTAACAGCTTGCCACAGTTTAAGAACTACTGATACTTTTTCTAGAAGTTGTTGATCATGAACCACGACGATATTGCATATGTCAGAGTACTGACGACTCCTCATTCATGATATGTTGCGATTTTTGCGAAGTATGGTACCATGGAGATTGTGTAAAGGTTAACTTTTCATATATTTACAAATTAAAATATTTTTTATTTACGTAAGCTAGTAATGTTTTTGCTTGATGTTTCTTACAAATTTTTTCTCTCCTATAAAATGTTTTGTGAGTTGAAAGATGTGAAAGTTTTTTATGAAGTAACAAAAACTTGAAAGTTTATGGATATGTATTGATTTAGGTTGATGCAGTCCTGGCTAAGCGTATGGAGAAGTATGCTTGTCCTTACTGCAATGAGAAAGATGAAAACCAAAAAACAGTCTATCGTATTACGGTACATTTCATTAATTTGTGCATATAAGTTAACGATAAGTGGCAGATTTAAAAGTTGATAATAATTTGTTCAAATAATCGATTACATGTTAAATGTTGTTTAGAAAAGGGGCCGTAAGAAGCGAACAGCCAATGCGATGACAGTTGACATGCAGAAGGAAGGAAGTAGTTCGATGCCTATTGTGAGTGGTGAAATGGGACAAGGTATCTTTTGTAGGTTGCAATACTACAGGTGCTGGATAGTTTATGCAAACTGAGGAGATGACTAGCATTTCAAAGCCTATTTCAGAAGAGAAGCGAGATGGTCGGGAATGCCACAACTGTATCAACTTTTCATCTCACTGCGGCAGTTGTAATCATTGTCAGAACTCTGTGGAACCATGTTTGAAGCGCATTTGTCTAATCTCTGATTGCTGCAATAAAGGTGAGAGAAATAGGCGCAAAATGAAGAATGGCGCCAAATGTATAGCAAAAAGTAGGTTGATGCACGCATCTCTGTGGACATCAGTTATTATTTCGGTGAGCGCTGATTGCAAGCTAGTATAACGTATTTATTGGATGGATCCATGATGGCATTTAGTGGTTTCAAATTATCTGCTCCACTTTTTACTGAAAAATCTGGTTGTGGTTATGTGAAGAGAGAAATTTTCGAAATTCTTCAGCTCACTGTTATTTTATCCTTATTTGTTAAACTGCGATATTTTTGTTTCCCTAAAATCTATTACTGATGAGATCATTGCTGTTACATCCTAAAATGGATGCGGATAAAACTTTGTGAGGTAAGCGTAACTTTTTCTTATTTGATTTCCACTCATTTACAATCAAGATACGTCAGTTTTAGACTCAGAATCAGTTGTATATTCATTCTCATCAAGAGGCCGAAGAAGACGAATGAAATATGTGAAGTAAGTCTTTAGTTCTTAGTTTAAGTTATCATCAATGTTAGCAATAACTTGCATAAGCAAAAATTCCAGCATGACCGAATACGAGGACAGTGACAATGGAAATGAGGATGATAGTGAAGAGAAAGATAGTTTGTGGAAACATACTGCTTTCTCAGTACCTGACACTAAAAAACGTCGCAAACGCATGGGTTCTAGAAGAAACAAACGCAAAAATCAGGTTTTCCTTGGCTAATATATTCGAATAAGACAGTATTGACTATGGCCGTTGCATGTTATTTTTGTGTTTACTCTTTTGCAATCAAAAAAGTTAAAACTGTTGACTTTAGCATAGTCATTAAATTTACTAAGCGAAAGTTACTATTTTAATTACTTAAAATAAATTTAATGGTTGTCTTAAAGCATTTACAAATTGCGATGAGCATATATTCTATGAACAGTTTCACTTTTTTTTTTTATTCAGAAAAATGGTGGTAGTTTGCAGAACAATGGTGGTAGTTTGCAGAAAAATATAGCAACAAAAGGAGTTGACAGTGGCTTGTCCGTTACATCAAGTATGCTCTTGCAAACCATTATTATTAATTTAAGGGAGCAAGTTCACAGTAGTTAACTGTCAGTGCATCTGGAAGCAGTTTTCATTTATCACTGAAGTTTACAACAAATTAGTGTAACAAAAAAATCTAAATTATATTATGATTTGCAGTGTGTGAAGTGGTGAAATTATCATTTTGTATATTTTTCAGCACATGATATGTGCTTACTGTAATACTTTTCGATCTGCAGTAGCATAAGTGTGATGAACATAATAAGTAACTTAGGTTAAAGTAAATGGTTTTCGTGTGGATTCTGTTGATTACTAAGGTCGTCAAAATTGTTTGTCGTAACATTTTAACAGAAAAGTTCCTAAATATTAAGTTCATTTGTATGTAATTAGTTCGTTCCATTAAACATTACCGTTTTTTCAGCACAACGAGAAGAACCTAGCTGTAGACTACCTAAGGTTTGAAGTTTCTTCTACAGAATCTAATTGGCAGTATGGAAATTTTATTTTTTTAAATAAATTTATGATTAATTTCTTACATTTATCAATTGATACCGTACTTCGTAGCATGCAGTTTCTGAGTCACTGTGAGATTTTAGAATTTGGTTCAATTTCTGAAAAAAATCTAAGCATTATAAAGGCTCACATTGCTTTGTTTTGACTTATGTGCATTAAGTTTGACATGAGTATGAATTTTCATGCACCTGTTTTAAAATGTTTTGGAACGGTGGGTAATTTGTCACGAAGATCTTTGTATATTAATATTTGAAAGATTTTGAGGAGCTAGTTTTAATTTATTGGCTAAAATGTGTCACTCAGATGACCCATATTTGTCAGTATTTCTGATGTCTTTATGACAGTTCTGAAAATATTTTTAATAACGTCTGAACTCAGCTTCATCACGTTTTCAGGAACGCGAGATCTCAAACAATAGCTCGTCTATGGAAAACATCAGGTTTTTGCTGAAAAGGGCTGCTGAACAAAATCAAAAATATATGGTATTTCAAAAAATAATTTATTTTTAATGGGACTCTGGCTGAGTGAAATTTGTCTCTTATTGTGTGATACTTGTGATTTGAATGCATCAATTTTTGGAAAAACGATCAACTTACTCTATCGTTTAAAGTGCGCTAATCCTTATTTAAAGCATAATGAACGCTTTAAATGAATATTTTATGGGTCGAAGAGTGAAACATTGGTTGTTCTTAGAAATTAAAACAAGGAATTCTTTCTTGAGCGTATTTATCCCTGTACTACGCATTCTTTTCTTTGACAGTTCGAAGAGTGACTGATTTCTAGAGCACCATTCTGGTGTCATACCTGTTTTGGTTAAACATTTAATATTTAGTCTCCATGACTGACATTGTTCTTGAGTTCGAAATCTTCACTGCAGTTAACTTCTCATTTGTTGCAGGAAGGTTTACAAGTATTAGCAAGGTCTCATCGAGAAATTCAAAGATGGATCGAAGTATGTTTCTTACTGTATTCTCGTTAATAGAAAAAAAATTGAACATTGCATTTGCACATTTCATAAATTCAACATTGCGTAAAGTGATTTTTGAGATCTTTTTTTATTTGGTGATCTGCTTTATTTTATGCATACATGCATTTTAAAAATATAATCCATCCATTCCTCTTAAGTTTATTTCCAGCTAATTGGAAAGATTTTATCTAAAAGTGAAACTGCAAACATCTCGCCAAACGATATTATTCGTGTAAGCTAATTTTCTTTATCTTCCCTAAACATTTATTTGATTGAATCTAATGTATACTTCAAATGGAAATTGCATACAAAAAAGTAAATAAATAAATTACTTTTTTGTATGCAATTTCCATTTGATGTAAAAGAATTCTTCGTATAAAAAATTCAAATATTAAGGAGGTGAATTCTGCTTCGGGCGCTTTGGCTTGTTTAGCGAAACTGGTTATAGAAAATACAGAACATTACTTCATACGTAGTGCGGGACAATATGACTTCAATTCGAGTTAAAATAAGGCTTATCTGCATGACGGCTGCTACATACAGTGAGAAATCATTTTTCTGATATGGAGCAAGTCTAAAAGATCTTTTCTTAGATCCTTCAATTTTTTTGTTTTTTCAGAATCATCATCTTCTCCATGCACAAAATGTATTTTTATATGCATTTTGCATTATTTGCTTTTTATCCAGCTTTCTATGTAGTTTTCAAGTATGTCGTCTCAAACTAGACTTGCTTGCGGTTTTTTATATCATTAAATAATCGTAATTTGCTTCACTCTATCTATTTCAAATTAAGGACTTTTGTTTGCTCGCCAAATAAAGCTTCGTTGAATAGCACTGCATTACGAAAATGTAATTAATTATAAGATAATTATAAGATAATTAATTATAAGATAGGTTCGGAATTGAACTGAGTCTGGTTTTGAATGATGGAAGACCATTTTTGCAAAGAAGCTAGGAAGGGTAGAACAAAGTAGCACAATATAGATGTATTTCATAAACCTTAATTAAATGAAGCTAATTTTACATATTTTGTACAATTTTGATAATTCAAAGAAAAAGTGATGTATAGCAAATCATATATTCCCCGTTCATATTTTTGCAATCGAGAAGTATTTGAACAAATCCAAAGTTGGATTATATAAAACATCTGCAAAGTCAAAGAATTCTAACAAACCAACGCAACCAGTCAGCTTCAAATTGGTCCAATTGATTTTGAAACGAAATAAGAGTCCTAATAAGTTGATCTAAATATTTTGGAATCAGTACAAAGGTGTACACAAAGGATGTTCGGGATTTTGACAGTTTTTTTATTGAATAAATCTTTCTGCGGTTTTTTTGATGGACTTATTTAAGAGTATATGATCAAGTAAGAAATTAGACTTTCGCGCAGCTACGTCTTTTATTTCGTTTTCGCTGTTGGCTTCTAAAAAGGATGCAAGTATAAAGTTCTTCATTTCTAAAGCCAGTGATAATGTTGTGAAACGATTAACAGTTGAATAGCAGGTGGAACTGGAAGGATTTCTAAAAAAAATAATCACTATGACTAATTCTGATTTCAAATTGTGCAATACGCAAATAAAATGTACAGGATGAAATATCCGGAAATCAAGCAAATTCTAATTGGTTGGACAAATTTTGATTAATTGTGAAACTTGTGATTTTGATTATTTTCTCTGCATTACCAGCAAAACAAAATTAGAGTAATAAAACGGACTTAATCATAACAATTATTGTAGACCAACATCCTCTTTGTATCGCAACCATGAAAGGATCCCATCCACGGTAATCTTTGACTAATGGATCTGCTCCATACTTCAAATTTAGCACTTTACGTTAAGCGAAAGCAAGGGAAGAAAAATTAATCTATTGAAAAGCATTAAGTTGAATCAAAATTTAAATGATTACTTCAAATAAGCACCGTATACATTGAACAGAATTACATTCAGCAGCAATATGAAGTGGAGTCTTTCCCATGTTGTTTCGCGAATTTATCACGGTTGAGTTGTTTGTAAAATTTAAGAGTTCAAGCAAAGTTTCTTGTTTGCTATCCGAATCTGCTACCAAATGAAGGACATTGTTTTTCGACTAAATTCAAATCATTATTAAAAGAGAACAATCAGTACTAGTATTATAAAACTTTTGAGTTTCACTTTATCTTCAACAGCGTAGTTGGCACCAGCACGAAGAAGACGACGCACCGTTGCTGAACACCCGTTTTTAGCAGCTAATAATAAAGGTGTCTGGCCAAACTTATTCTGCTTCTAAAAAATTATATAAATGATAAAACAACTTGAAGTGAAAACTTTTGATTTGGAAATAATAAAAAAATCCCTGCATTTTTAAATTGATTGAAAAGAAAACTACTTCAAGATTCCAGTTAAACGCAAGCAACGTGCTCACAACCCCAACATGATCATAATTCGCGGCTAAATGAAGTGCAGTACAACCATTTCTATCATAATCTTCTCGACTTATTGCTGGATTAGTATCCAACATAGTTCGGATAGAACTATCAAAACCATGCATTGCTGCCCACATAAATGCATTGTGTCCACTATTTGTAACAATTTCCTTTAAAGATAAATAAATTATGAAAACATTTTCACCAGAAAAAATACATCTTTGGGGATGAAATAAAAGATGTGTTTTAGGGTAAAGGGCAACAGAACGTACATCTTTAAATTTATTAGCTTTATATAAAAGCTTAAGTGTTTCAGCATGTCCTCGAATCGCAGCATGATGCATTGGAGTTGCACCGTATTCATCCTGTTCTTTCAAAGATGCACCACATTTCAAAAGTATCTTTATCTGGAGTAACCTACCCCACAGAGCTGCGTGATGCAATGCTGTGTGGAAAATTGGATCCACAAGCTTGAATTTCTTACTCTGCTTCAGTATTGCCCATTTTTTATTGTTAAAAATTGATAAAGTATGAAAGACTTGTCACAAAAATTTTTCAAAATGATTAAGGGAAACATGATTGAATGGTAACATAAGAAAAATGACAAGATAATAAAATTTTAACAAAACATTTTCTGTACGTTGAAAATAAATACCGTTCATAATACATATATAATTCATACCGCAAGATTTCCTTCATAAGAAGAAAGAAATTTAGTGAGCAAAAGAGCATCATTAATCACAGAACACATGAGTGCTGTTCGCCCTAGCATATCTCTCATAAGAATAAGTTGAGGGCAACATTTCAGAATTGTTCTTGCTACCTTTACTTGCTCTAAATAAAAAGCAAATCAATGAATACAGGTCTTTTAAACCTTTTTAGTTAGAATAATGCAAAAAAAGAAAACCAGACCTTTATCGCAATGCAAACAATTTTGTGTGGCAGAAAAGCTACCTCTCCTGCATTCATCATATACATCCAGTTTCAATAGATTCAGTGAGGACGATAAGTGTTTATCAAACGAGTAAGCAGAATTGCATTTCATCGCTGTAAGCTCGTGCAGTATTGTACCTCTAAAATATACCAAATACACTAGGTACTGTACATTATTTGTAGCAAATTGTATCACAAAAATACAATTCTAACCGTTCAATTCTCCACAGCAATGTTCGCACTGAGACATCCCTGAGAGTATTTGCTATGAAATGACTTTCTTTTAATTTACAAATTTTTGTTAAAAACTTGTTAAGATGACTGGTTAGTAAGAAATTTACTGTTACAACACTTTTCGAAAGACATGCTACGTGTATCGGAGTCTGCTTATTATGATTACACTGCTGTAACATCTCTTCTAAAGTGAGCCAACCACACTGTTTCACAGTATGATCTAATATAATCTGAAAGTGGCATTCTTCAAGTCGCGAATGACGATGTAATTATATAATTGTGTAACTGAACAAAAGTGCTGAATTTAAATTCATTGTAAATCTACATCTTTTCAGTTTTATTTCTATTTACTGATAATCATTCCAGAGAAACTTAAAAAAACTGAACACGAAAGACAAAGAGAGGCAGTAAATATTATGCGTGAACTTATGATGATAATAGTGACATGCCGAAAATAAAAGAATTTAGTTATCTGTTAATATCGAAATACTAAAAAGTGGCTTAGATGTAATGACAAATATTGCTTTGACGATTCGTACAAAATTGTGAAAGATCAAGTATAAAAGATTTTCAAAATTTTAGAAACTAAAATACGCTCTACCAGCCTTCAAACAACGATTTCTGCGCAACCTGCATGCCAAATGTAGCAAATTCTCCCCATTGGAGTCGCAATGCATTATGAACTTAGTTGTTGGTATCCAACCATCTTCTCTACCTTTATACTGAAAAAAAACTTATGCATAGGTCAAGTTCAACATCTGAATCTGAATTTATGAAAAAAAATGAAGAAATGGCTCACTGAAAATTTAAAGTATACCTTTTCCTTTTCTCGAAAAGAAGTGAGAAGAAACATCAAGCACTTTGCGGCATCATTGATTACAGCGATATGCAGTAAAGAACGACCTTTCATAGTGATTTGTTGTAGATCAGCGCCAAGACTAAAACAGCATTTACAAAGATGATAAATACTTGACAAATAAATATTAGAATTTATGACAAAATATGAGATAAAAATCAAAATAAATTATGTACCTCAGCAATAACTGAGTAACAGCAACACGATCGTTTGCAATAGCCAAATGAAGCATTGATTTTTCTTGCAGGCTTGCTAAATTTGTAAATATTTTTAGGTCATCAGTCATTTGTATTAGCTGCTTTATATTTCCAGAAATTGTGGCACGTATGAGAGACAAATAAGTCTGAAATTAATTAGTAAGCATTCTTGATAAGACTGATTACTGAGACTGAATTGGTTTCAATTTAGCTTTTGTTCTGAATGATATAACAGTACCTTCTCCAAATGTTTCAGTAATTTCATGGTAAGTAATAAGACCAAAATAGAGGTTTATAATCTTTCGAAAAAAATAGTTATTCGGTTACAACAAACTTGTGAATTTTTGTTAAAAATCTATAGATGCCTTTTGGATTTAAATATTGAGACATAGAGTTTTCATTAAAAAACTGCACTTCAAGCTAATCACATTACAGTAGTTCGTAGTGGTAAAATGAAATTAATAATCATGAATCATGCCATCCTTTGACGATGGCAATCAGGGTTTGGTTTATTGAAATTTTCAAAAAGTGATTCAAGAAAATGACTTACATTACTTAAACTTTTTTGGTTGTTAGAAATACAAAAATCTTCAATACTTGTTGAATCAGCAACAAAATCACTAAAACAAACTTTGCCCATACAAACAGTATTACAATCAACACATCATGAAACTGTGTAATATTTTTTTGAAAATGCTGTCTATTCATTTGAAAAGCTAACATTGTTTTTTATACTGTTTCAAAAGAGACTGTCTTTTAAATATCTTTTGATTCTCTCAACTTATTTTTTGATTCAAAAAATTTTTTTTTTGCTTTAAAAGTGATTTATAACTAGTGTATTGATAATTTGTTCCTTCCTAACCAAGTAATAGCAAAATAAACTTAGGTACTTGTCGCTTAATCGTTCTGTACTTGCAATGAAGCGCACATTTAACAGAAGTGCACTACTACTTTCATCTTTCATTTTCGAATTTATTTTATTGGAAGTAAAGCTGAATACATCGAATTCTTTTCTCGATGATGCTTGGTAAGATAGTCGAAAGCGTTTTTTCTTCATCTTCAAATACATGCATACTTTTAACAGAATGAAACCATTCCTGTAACACGTTGTAACATATCAAAAGCAAATACACATTTTCTATACCATTAATATTTGTAGTTTCCCAGAAAAAAAAAATTAACTGGCTTCTATTTTCGCATTCTATGTTTTATTTTTTGCTTAAATTTCGTGTCAATTAAAAACTTAGTCAATATTTTCTATTTTCTTAGTCTCATATTTTAATAATTTTTGCTGCTAAGGTAATTTTTGTTAGTTTATTATTTTATATTGAAGCAAAATTGATTCTGAAGCAAAGCCTTGAGTTTTAGGACCAAAATAATTTTGAACGCACATAGATCTGAAATTGGCAATTTTAAATTCGCTTTTATTCTTTTGCTCCTAATTATCTAATCAAAAAATATTCTCAATAAAAAGCCTAATTCAAAGAAAAAATAACAAAGTACATCCTTCCTAAGAGTTTTGCTCAACTTGATTTTTCGGAAAAATGAGAATTACTTTTTGTTGGCTGAATATTAGGGCAATATGTTTTGGCGGCAAATGAACTTTTTTTCATTAAGTACTACCGCGAAAAGAATCAACTTTTTCAAATTACTCAAATTGCAAAGTCTTGATGCCTTGCATGTCATTTAACATGAAGCTTTTCAGTTGTACCAAATCTTTGAGTTTTATTATAAATGTAGTCTCTATAATTCGTAACTGAAATTATACAAAATTAGAAATTTTAGTCATGAATTTCGAATAATTAGTTTTCCTTTGAGGATTTTTACTGCAAGATGTTCGACAGTGATTTTCATGTCATTTCTTAAAATTCATATGTTATTTTTCCTTAAAAATTGATGTTTTGATAGTGCTTTAGTATTATACAATTTATATTTCAATCAATCTTTTCGTCAACGTCATTTTCAAGTAGTAAACAGTAAATAGTATTACGTAGCATTCATATTTCAGAAATACTAATACAACTTTTGCATCAGAAATATACTAAGCAAATGGAAGTTGCATTGAGTATTGACAAAAAACAATCATTTCTTATTATTTATCAGTATAAAACATGTGTTTATGTTGCTGGGATAAAATTTTCAGAATGTAGAAATTTGTGTTATCAGATGGCAACACACTTTTCCAAAATTATCTTAATACAACGTTTTTCTTTCATGAAAAATTGTTTCTTAAGAATCACTGAATTAAATGTGCTAGTTGCGGTTGTGATTACTATTTATTCACTTCTCTTTCAATATAAATTCATTTCTACTGAACGGGAATCAGTGCTTAATCGTGTTCCTGTTCTTTCTCAAAATTCATATATGATCCTTTCGTTTTATGATTTACATTATGCAAAATACTATATAGAACGTTTAATTTTTTTGCAAGAAAATTAAAAAATCCTCTTTTATAGAAGACAAAAAAGCACGGAATAAGAACTTCGGAACTATGTTTCCTCACAAATAAAGTATCTAATGCAAGATATATCACGTGACTGTTATCAGATTATGATTATGATGAACTACCCAGAATCAGCGCCACGATCATGCCATATAAGCCAAGAACCTGAATTACCATTTACCTTCATTTGATGCATCTTTGTCAACTTTTTTATTCAACGCAAATATTTTAAAATTAACTATTTTGCTCATGATATTGCTTTCTTTTTGAAAACGCTTTGCAAGGTTGTGAATTTTGACAAAAACAGATATTGTTTTTGATGGAATGACCACATATTTTAATGTATTCATTTGAAAATGTATACTTTTTGCTAACAGATAAATGTTTTGTGAAAGTGATTCCGTACGAGCCGTTTTCTTTTTTTTTGCCAATATAAAAAGGAAACAAGTATTTCTTTTGATGTGCAAGTAAATGATGAAACAGTAATCTTTTGTTCCCAATTCAAACTATTACTTACTTCAGAGAAAATAAGTATTAAAATCATGCCAACAAAAAGTCTCGGTTGCTGAGCAGTTCCTCGCACACCTGCATCACCCACAATTCCGATAGCATATCCAGCTCCTAATCCACACAAGCCGCATGTTAGGCCTGCAGCCAGATGAGCAAAACCCTGAAAAATACGGTAAATTATTATCGTTTAATGATGAAGCTTAAATAGCATGGATTCTAAATCAGTTACTTAAAATGTCTCATTTTTTAAATGAAAATTATAAAAATCTTCCTCAAAAACTTCATGCCTGATGTTCTTTATTTAAGTTATCAGGTACCATAAATAGATGCAAAAAAGAAATGACAAACTTTTCGGTACTTTCTAGCACTTAAGAACAAAAAGTTGCAGTTTTAACTCAGCTTGTAACTTATTACCGAGAATTCTTTTCGATTAGCAAACCTGGATTATATAGGAAATAAAATAGATAATAGAATTCTGTGAGAACCACAAAAAAGTTTTTTGTAGTTCATGAAATTTTCGGTTCATTTCTACTTGAAGAAGACTTAGATAATTTATTCATTTTTTCAGTTTTCAAACTGTACTTTATAAATATGATTAAGCTTAAACCTGGTTGAGGTTATAACCTTCGCTTGCAGATTTGACTCTTCCTTTCAGTACCATTGCCACTACAAGTCCATAAATGCCTATGATACCTGCAATCAGTGAAAACTATGGAACTTCAAAGCGCTTTCGTACTTTGCATGATGTGCATATTCTGCTTAAGAATCGATATGTTAAGCTGCTAACAGTACTGAAGAACTAACAGAATGGAATAAACAACAGTGACAGAGCAAAGAAAATGCATACCAGCCATAATAACAGGTATTACAGATTTCATGATTAGTTCAGGCCTCATAACTCCCATAGATGATATGCCAACCGCAGATTTGGCTGTGCCATAAGCAGCTCCAAATACAGTGAAAATTTGAGCTGATGCTGCTCCCATATATCCAAAAAATGGGCTGTAGGCTGGTTGCTCTGGATTGTTCCAAGCTAAATTGCTCATTCTGTAAATTTCGAAAACAGATGAGTTATATTACATTTAGCTATAATATCAGCTTTTATTTGACGTAGAGATTGATTAAAATATAAAGTATTAGAAAAAATATTAGTTATCGCTAACAATGACAAACAATCTGTTAACTTTGGCTCCTTGAAAAAATAGATTCATTCAAAAATACTCAAAAAAGTATTCCTAGCAAATATATATTTGTAATAGTAATTTCCTACGGTAATTTTTCTTAACAAAATAATGAATCAACTGATAGATTTATTAGATGTAAGTGAATGAGGAAAATGATATTTCAGGAATTTATTAACAATGAAAGTAAAAACTAGCAAATTTCTTGAACTTTCAGTTATTTAAATTAAAAAATGAGAATATTGAAAAAACAGTTTTTGGCAATTCTATGTGATACAGGAAGGAACACTGACATTCTGTTTTATTCCTAATTGCAAATAAAGCTATTGATAAATAGATAATAACTTTGACCAGTAATTTTTAGTAGTAATAATTATTAATACTGATATATACCGAAAATGATTTTTTTAATCAAATTCTTTAAATTACGTTCCCTCAACTTGAGATAATTGAATCTTTTGTCCAATTTTCATCCGTAAATTGGTAAAAATCTCAAAAAATTACCAGCTTTATAAAAAACTCTTTTTAAAAAAAGCTCAGTCATTGTTGAATTCGAAATTCAAGCACTAATTTGTCATGTTTCATCGCTCTGTAATTTAAGAGATTTATTAAATTTGTTTTGTATGATCAGATACTTTATACTGTGCTTATGAGTGTTTAAAAAAATTCTTACTGGTAACTTTGATTTTTCTGTTGACAAAATAATGTTTTTGAAGGTTTTATGAGTACTGTGGAGTCTAAAACTTATCTGGCATTTCATTAATCGACAGAGCATTTCCTCTTTTGATGCCCTTACATCGAGTCTAGTTTCATGACTGAGATTTAATGAAACTGTTAAGCAGAAGATAAGTCATGTCTGTACTGAATAAGAGAGATTCATGAGATGAAATTGTTTTTGAGTTTCTGGAGCATAAAAAGTTACAACTCAAAAGAGAATTCGCGATGAAATCTATAACAAAATATAATCGTGTTTTGGTGTTTTGCCATGCAACATTAATGTAGGACTTTTTTGATAGTATAATTTGAATAGATATTCAAATATAATGATGAGATGAGTGCATATTTCTCCAGTATATAGATTGATAAATCGGTGTACATATCAAACAAACAAACTCATTGATTAATTAATAGTCTTAAATTTAAAAAATGATTATTAGTTCAAATAATACACAACATTACATAACTGAAAGCAAACAAATTTTGTGTCAATTCACAGCGTTTTCTCTATAGTTTTCTCTATAGTTATGAAAGATGATTTTTTGGTAATTAATCCGAGAAAACCTAACAAATTATTTAGAGATATTTGTCGATGGAAATATCAGCAGTTCATTAGGCTGGAGAAAGATTATTTGACAAATCTGAAATGATACGAATTATGGAGAAAAAAAGGCATAACATCGTCTTAATGAAAACTGATAAGTTTAGAATACTAAAAAAATAAGACTTTTTTTTAAAATAGGAGTACATTTTGTCTCTAACTGTGAAAAATGACTGCAAAACTGATAAGAATGACTAGTCGCAATGATAAAGTAAACGAAGGTATGGTCAACATTAAAAAAAGCCATATAAAAGAGAGATCATAAAGCATGGGTGCAAGAATATATTTATCACCTAGCATAGGTCAGGACTTCAAAGATCATAAATTTAAATTATGCCTTAAAGTGGCTGATTAATACAAATAAGCAATAATCAACGGTAGATAGTAATGTGACTCGTCGTAAAGGAAAGTCATGTTGGTGACAAACAATCCAGGCGTCACCGTTCACTTTGTTTATTTGCTGTAGAAATAATTATAACTACAACATCTGAGACTTTTTAAATTCTGAATAAACAAACTATCTTTCTTTGTAAGACATGTTAATTTAAAGATCCCATACTTTACTCAGTGTTCCTCAAATGATATTGGCTTGTATGAGCGAATTAATATAGCACTCAGAGAAAGCATTTCTTGGTCTCAGCGGACTAAATTACTAGTCCCTTCAACCCATTTGTCGATAAAAATCAGATCTGCAGTGAACCCCATACAAAAAATAAAAAATATTGTCGGATGATCCTGACGAACAACAAATCTATTTAATTCAGAAAGCTGCCTGCATACGTTTTTGACTAGAACCAACTATCACCGCCCAAGTACTTTGACCAAAATGTGGTTCAAAAAGTGTCAAACATGATGCATCCTATCATGTTGTTTTATTAGAAACCTAAGAAGGTAATTAGTATCATCTTGAGATTTGCCTGGATCGAATGACTTGCACTCCATAAAAAACTGACAAGAATTCCTCAACTGTGCACGAGAATAAAAAATATGAACCAAACTACAGAACAGTGCAAAATTAGCATACCATGAACCAGCAACTTGAATGAATTTCGTATGTACACAATACTAAATTATGTTTTTACTTCGTTTAAAGCTTTCGTACAATTATTGTGAAGGCAGTAATAATGAAAATCAATGTTATAGATGGAACCTTTATCTGGCTGTGATATCTTTAAAGTCAAAAAGATTCGCAACAGTGACAATAATAATGGGTTGTCAATCATCATGCTATAAGTTGATGTATATTAAACTAAAACGAAGACACTTCACATTTATATAAAAATATTCATATTCATCGTAATCCAATTCTATTTTTCGGCAATTGTAGCAATAAATGCAGGCAAAATATGGCAATACCTAGGAGTAAGAAGATGAAATAAAACCCAATTGTGCCTAGTTACATGCAATAATTGCTGCATAAGCACTTAATCTGCATATGCGGAGGCACAGGTAAGTTCATAGGTCCATGGATAAATTACGGAATCTAATGAAAATGGAACGAAAGTTTGATCAGATGAAAGCCTACCATAAATCATCTAACAAACTTGCAGATTTATGAAAATAGTATTAAGAGCTGGGATGGAAGAAAGCATCCATAAAAAAGCAAACAGAACAATAATATGGAATTAACAAACAGCTCTCCAAAATTTCATTGCATGCACGAAATGATGGTATACAAACGAAACAAGACATACACAAACCGATCTAACCGCCACCATTAACAATCATTCAGTCGTACTTTCTTATACAACTATACAATACAAAACTTAATCAAATCACTCAGATCGCAAATAAAATTTTTAGATTAACATAAGAAAGAAGTGGTGTAACTTTTTATACTTGCAAAGTAGAAGAAAAAGATTAGTGCAACGGGAGAAAGAATATCTTTCTATATAGAAAATTTAAAAAATAAAAAAATAACTGATGGACAAATAAATTCACTCCACAAAGAAATTAAGGTTTTGCAAGATTTCGAGTAGTGCATTTTCATCATACCTCAAATAATTTGAATATGACTTGCATCATACTAAACCATCATACACATGACTATGATTTAAAACACCCTTCTTTGAAAAAAAAAAGCCAAAGAATTTGCAAATGATTAGGATCCTTTTCGAACCAACAGAAAGAATTAATGAATCAAAAAGATGCGAATACCACAACTTGAATTAGTGATTAAATTTAGAAATCCATAATCATTTAAGCTTCCAAAATACGGCCGAGAAATATCCAGAACCATTTCAAGATTTGCGGCTGAAAAACATTTTGAAGAGCATGGATTAATGGAATACGAGATATCAAATGAACAACAGTAGAAATGTTCTATAATTCAACAACTAAAAATTTTTTGATGTGTTAATGGCTTTTATAAACAATATCAATGATATGAAAAATACCATACCACATAACAAACCCTGAAATGAAATACACAAAATATATGAAATATGTAACTATCAAAGATGCTAACCAAAAACAAAGGTGACTAAGTTTCAGGATAAAAAAATGGCGTTATGACTTGTAAATTTTAATCACATCTTCGATTTTCTTTCGACAAATTGGACATTCACCATTTAAATGCCACGTCTCAGTAGCACACTCAAAGCACATTGACATATGACCACATGTGTAAATCACAGAATTCACCTTAAATATTATTCATGTCATTATCAGCAATATTAAAATTGCTGGAAGTTGGAAAAAAAAAAGAGCAAAAAACGAGGTAAAAAATTCCGATTAATGGTTTCAGACGTAATAAAATTCATTGATTAGAATGAAACAAATTTTGTAAGAACTTCGAACAAACTGAGATCTAAATATACCATTTCCAATAAGGGCAAACGAGTCAAGGTGCAAAAGTTTGTAATTCAACTTTTCTGAATTTTTACTGGAATTGAGAAGTTTATTTACACAACTTACCTTAGCATTCATACAAATTCTGCATTCATCACCAAATTCACCTTCCTCGGTAGATTTTTGCTGAGAACTTGCTATTACTTCATTAGGAAGCGGTGGATGTGGTGGAGGGTGTGAGTATGGTCTACCTGGCGAGATCTGCACAGGAGATGCTCTTCAAAAGATATAAGATGAGCTTTAACACATGAAAATTTTCCTATACAATAAAATGCAAGATTTCTCATTATAAACTACCTGAATGGCACAGGAGCAGGTAGATATTGTGGTTGATGAGTTATGCTAGATGCGTTTCGCTGTATTTCATTATCCATAGCTTCCCATAAGTCGATAAAGTTTTCACCACTAATGAGAACTGGTCTCGAACTTGTCACTAATGGATTCAAAATATGAACACTTCTTTCTAATAATGAAACAAATAATAAATTAATAAACACATTCATTATATTTCATACATGTCATACTTTACTTGAAGAACTGTGATAAGGAATAACAAAAAACTAACGTATATGACGAGGAGGACGAAGAACCATCCCATTAACATTTTCCCCAGTTTCCGACTGAGGACGCTTCGATAAAAATGGAGACGGATTCTCAAAGCTAGGGTCTGCAACTTGTAGCGGGCAAACACAACTAGAAAACAATACCGTAAAAAAATATTTATAAACGATATAATTCATAGCTTTTTCAAAAAGAAATCAAAATAATCAAACCAACACTATACTATCAATAACTTACATTTCACTAGTCGATCCTCTAGTTTCGTATGCACTTGCTACCGTTTGTGGGGACAGATCAAGTAAACTACGTGAATTTCTTGTGCTTGCTGGAAGCGTCGAAACGTGTCGAGCGATCATGTGTGACAATGTTGTTACTTTGACACTGCCTCAAAATCAAAATTTTATGCATTACCATAAAACTAGACAATACATGAACATTAATATGTACTACTTATTAACTCTACATAACTTTATATAAGAATGATCTTGAAAATTCATATCTGTCGATTTATTTTTATAACTTGTGAAAAATAGCTGAGATAAAATCAAAATCATTTAACACTTCCAAAACTAGTTAGATCTCGTTCATTATAAAATTAATCACATGTGAAATTACCAAGCATTCGTATTTTCTGAGTCGTACCATATACATCAAAATATGCCCATAATTTTACTGATGTATCTACATGAATGATAACACGTGGAACGAGATTGTTTTTGACAAAATAGACTTCCCCTGAAAAAATAAATGATTGAATAAGAAAAGAAGAAAGACTTTAAAAATAAAGAAAAACGTGCAACCTTTTTCAGAAATCCAAAATGACAGCTCATCACCTATTCCCGGTTGCGCAGCAACATCTTTTATACCAACCCAGTATTCTGGCCTTTCTAAGAGATCATCACTGTCTACGGGAAGTGTTGAGCCTTGCAAGTTTACAGGATCACAACAAGTCAATCCAAAAGCCATACTGCCAGTATAAGCTGACTCTACATCTAGTATCTGAGAAAGAATGGTAAATGATGACAGAAATGTTAAAGAAAAAGCATATTCAAAGAAAACACTTCATTAACAAATAAGAGCTGACTGATACGAAACTTTTTACAACAAAAAAACTTATAGCACAATTTTTTAACCAAACAAACCTGAATGACAATTTTTTCATTCAGTGTGAGCGGTCTAGACGTAAACACATAACCGCAGGAGTATTCACCAGGATGTCTTTCAGCAACAGTGTAACCATGAGTAAGAGCAATGTGCTTCCCGCGAACAGTATGAAATGTCAGTGGAGTAAATTGAACACCTGAATGTACTAGTTTGATTTGTCCATAAAAAATGTGAAATCCTTATGGTTTTGGAGAAAATCCAGTAGACCATACCAACATGATATTTTGAAGTAGGCAAATTGAGTCGGGAATTTGAACTGCTTCTAGAATGTCGCTGATTTCCCACGGAGCTCGTCGTTGCAATATTTGTCGGTAGAACTGCAGATGAGAGAGGGCGGTTGAAAATGCGACCTCTTGTAACCCCAGAATGACCTAACCGGAGCCTAATTTCTTTTGGGTCTGTAAAATTATGAAAAATGAAAATAAAAGCAGAAATTTATACATTATGACAAGGAACCACCACTGTTTCTATTTATATGAATGAAAAAGAACGAAACACAAAAAATATAATATATAATCTGTCAAAATCCCTGGGCCCAGATATCAAAACATTTCTCAAACGAAAATAAGTTCAATTTTAATATAGGCTGGGATTCTGCAGAAATCACAGAAAATATGCATGATATACGAATTTCTGAAGTTGCTACCGACTGAAATCTTTTCTGAACAAGAATAAGCTCCTAACCACAAAATTTCGAATGGGATGAAAGAAATATGCAGAACACTATATGTATATCTACATAAAGCAGCACTTATAAAAAGAATTTTTTCCATTTATATAAATGAGTTCTGAGATTCTATTTTCGATCCTTTTTCAATGACAAACAGAAATTGTGAAGCACCAGTCAGCTTTCTATGATTCAATAAAATTATTAGATTTGAATATCCCATTTACACTACATAAAAAAAACTTTAAATACAATTATAGAGGTGCCACATAAACTTTTCACCTCAATACTACTCCATGATAACAGCTTTTGTCCCAGAAATCCTAAACGACAAAAATGAGATGATAAATATTACATACTGTTCTAGCAAAAACTGAGATATCAGAAAATGATTTTATTGGAAATTCAGAGTTTAAACAGATAGTTTGTAGAATTTTTGTTATTTCAAAGGAAACTTATACTATAATGAGTCGAATCACTAATCACTTTTCAAATCTTAATCGGTATTTCAATTTGCTTCCGCACGACAAAACATATAAACTGAATTTAGATGGACAAAACTTTAAGCCCACGAATGGCTCCAAACATTTTTTATAGAAGGAAAGAAGCCAACTAATTATTTATTTAAACTGTGAAGGCATATGCTTATCAATAAATTTTGAAGGAGACGTACCAATGAATTCAAGGGAAGAACTATTTCCATATATGTCAACAATAACCCATAACGGTGAATACACATTGATCCCGTTTAAGAACTGCCCCTTTAACACACCGTTTATGCCATAATAAAGCTCGCCTTCACCGTTCACATAAAAATGTAAAATTGATCCAGCAACAGAGTAACGTTCAGGTAATGCTTTTGCCCAATACCCTTCCTTACTTGTTAAATCTGGACAAGCAAATCTATAAATGGTCAATTATAATTATAAAAGAATGAAATAAAAAGTTTAAAACATGACAGCAGAAATATCTGAACAAGATTCTAACTTTGGCAATTCAACTCCAAGAAAAGTCTCTGGATCAACATTCGTAACACCAAAACGCAAAACACCAGACCAATTCGATACTACTTCAGCAAAACGAATGCACACGTTTTCGTCAATTTGTATTGGTCTACAACCAGCGACAAATTCATACATTTGAAAAATAACTTATAAAATAACTGCAGGTATAAACTTTGTAATGTATATGGTAATCTTCACATACAGAAACTTATATATCTCGTTAGGAAATATAAATATTTTATCAGTTTAAATGGTTTTATACCAGAATTAGAAGAGAAAATAGAAACTGTGATATCAGCCCTTTATTTCAAAGCAGTTTAACATGTAACTTTATTCAAAAATTAAAGGAAATTTGACCATCTCAATATTATCTTTTATTCCTTATTTCATGGTATATTTTTCATGTACTATTTTCATAGATTCAATTTGTGCATATCAAAAACTATTTATTGGTAATGACTGAAATACATGCGTATGCTTATTAATTTACTTTCTCTCATTGAAAACAAAGTCAGCCCTTCACTAAAAAAACAGTATCTTATAGCAACATTTATTAATCCCCCAAGCACAGCATCTTTTTCATCGATTACTATCAACAACATGGTAGTATAAAGAATAATTTCTCTAACAAGACATTTCAATGAAAAATTAATGCCGCATCTGAATTATTACTTCGCTCTAATTGAATTTGATATTAATTAAAAATTTTATATCTGAATGCTTTTTGATTTCTTTATCGAGATAAGTGAAAAAGAAAATCTTACCGACTACTAAATGCGAGTCCTTCACAAAATGATTCTTTTCGCTTAGCAACTCGACCTCCTCGAAGAATCTGAATATTGGACCCATGTACATAGTGGAATGTAAGCAGTGGAAGAGGCCATTCCGATGTCCCTTGATTCACCACTGTATTTTCATCGTAATTAGCTATTTGCAACCCGTCATCAGGAATTGATTCTAAAAACAGAAACGAAATTTTATTTGTTACCAGACACTTAAGATCAATAAGCACTGCATTCTGTCACTATTCCAGTTCTAAATTTAATCAGAAAATGTGAAATAGCACATATGCAAAAGGAGTTGTGCGCTGCAAAATTGTTGCTCATACAGTAATAAATCGAAACCACTCTTATTATTTATCCTCAAAAAGGTATAAGAGAATTTCTAATCTATGAACCATCCTATCTATTGGTCACATCTATTCTGCAAGTAATCAAAGACTGCTCCTGGAAAATCATTCAATTTGAAATGAAAGAAAAATTAATAAGCAAAACAAAGAATGTGTCTAGATCTATAATGCCAATAATAATGAAACCCTTGCACTAACAATTAATTTTAAACGCAAGTGGTGGTTAGAAACCCTATCGATTACGACGAGCGGGAACTTTTGCACTTTATGCATTTGAATTATCCACTAAAGACTCTAGCAACATGTTATCGATATGATGTATCACTGAAAAATTTGTTATGCAAATGAGCTAAAAAACAAATCGACTGATTTTATAAAAGTGAAGAAAATTTATATCTTCGCGAATTCTTAACCACAGCATCAGTTTTGCTTGCAAGTTGTTACTTTTATATGTCATCTTTCTTTAGTCATCGGAAAACAACTGACTAACAGTTCCATGACAATCATTGTACTTGTTTCCACTGAATAATAATACTTATTATTTTAAAAACTTTTCCACTGCAACACCACTATACAACTGGATAATAACTTTGATTAACTCAAAGTTTTTTACCATAACACCATTATACAATCAATTGTTGTATCTTAGAAAAAAGCACCAAGAAGTTTAAATATTCTCACTTTAAAAGTTATCTAGTGAATGGTATTGGTAATAAATCAAAACAATATTTTCTGCGAAGTCCTCGCTCCGAAAAAAGTGATACATATTTTACATGTTGTGTAAAATCAATTCCTATGCACAACACACTAGACTGAATATATTCAATTACTACTGACTGACCGATACAGCAAACTGAATGCCTAACTTGAATAATATTATAGAATAATAAATCAATACTAATTTACTATTCTTAATCTAAAAAAAGATGCAGTGCGAGTAATAGCTTGACAAGATGACAATAACAGCTTTTACTGTTGTTACTTTCATTATTTTGAAGACTGATATATTCGACTGGTATCATCTATAGAGCAGCTAATATGAGAACAACAATTCGAAGAAATTTATTAGAACGAGAAAGCAGCTGCTGTGAGTATAAACAAATAATAATAGTCATGAGCCTCCACTGAAAGAATCAAAACACATATTGAAACGCGCTCGAAGTTATGAAAGTAGTGGAATTATTCGCTGATGTTGGATGATAAGAAACTTGAATGGAGGAACTTTAATTTAGAGAAGAGTAACCTTTGAATTTGCTTCGAATGTCAGCACTTTTTTTGAAGAGCTTTTTCAAAGTTCCGAAGTCTCCAAATTCATTAGATTCACTTGAAACCTCATCGTCTAATGATCCTACAACGATCTCAGATGGATCAATACTGGATACTGTGTTACTGGATCCAATTTTGAACAAACCATTTCCATCAGAAGTCATCACTGTGTTCCGAAAAAATAATAGCAAGCAATTAAATATCTTACAAAAATGCTAGCGCGAAATGATAGTAACGAGAATACGGGGTGTTGTGATACTAACTAGAAAAACTTTAACAGCGTCCATAGCTATCTTCTTACACATTTGCAACACTTCATTCCATTGCAAAATAATTACTGCTTGCGAAAAAATTTACATCTATGTGTAAGCACTCTTCAATTGAAAGAAGAGATTGAAAGAAATCAAGGTAGTGATTGGCAGTAGTCATGTATTCTGATTTCTGAGCAGCCTACCTTATAGTGACTTGCAAAATTATATCAGTTCTATCCCCTTACATTTACTTAGTTGCAAAAATGCCCTTACCTGACTATAATGTAAAGCTTGTCAAATTCATCATATTAATTTCCACTCTTAACATCATCTAAAAAAATTTTCGTTAACTTATTTCCTTCAAATACTTGTTCCATTGAGAATCGTTTCTCATACGATGACGACAAGAAATAAAAGCAATGAATACAAGTATATGTACCTGTACACCTTGAATTTTGCTATTTATGATACATTGGTTGTAAATACTTGCACCAACAAAAAAAATTGATTAAGAGACACAGCATTTCACTTTGCATTCCAAATTATCTTTCTGCCGCATCACCTTCATGGAATGATCCTTTCTTGTTCCCATTACTAGCAATTCTTTTTTCCCTTAGTGTAAAAATTGAGAAAAAGCACAGTTAATAGTTGTATACTTGATCTTTTTTTTTGCCAGTAGTAATAAACAGGAAAGCATTAAAATATCAAGACGGAAAATAAATGTATATTCCTCTAAAATCTCAATCACCGAAAAAAATCAAGTATAAAAACTTGCTGGAATAAAACAAAAAACTTAAGTTCAAAAATCATTCTTCCCGAAATAATTATTCTTTCACGAAGAGAAGCTGATGATCATGTTTCTAGGTCACTGATGACTTTTAAAACTTTCATTTCACTTTCATCAATTCCAAAAATCGCATTTCTAAAGTTTCATCAACTAAAAACTTCCAAGTATTATTTGAATAGGATTCATATATGTATATATATAAGAAATATGGAGGTTAGTTTTCGTTTTCGCTTCACTGATTCTGGCGCTGGATCGTATTCCGAGCACTCTGGCTGTACTTGTCTCTCACTGAGATTTGTTGTGCTCATCGTTTTCGCTTCGTCCTCGTGAAATCCATAGCGAATATCGAAGGAGATGCTTTCGAGCGACTTCTTGAGAACTACTGATTGAATGTATGCCTCGACTTGACCACATATAATGATCTCCTTTGCGTAGCGTTTGTGGAAGTTCGTTAAAATCCCATCCCAAGTCATAACATACGGAATTATTTTGCTCCTGCATTTCATCTCTGACCCAAGATTACTAGCAAGTAAGTCATATTTTCGCTTTCTCTCGGTCTCGACTGCAGTCCACCTGTTCTGAGTAGTGATGCTAACGTATATCAGGATTACTTCATGTCGCTTTTTATAGTGAATCATGATCTCTGGTCGATTCGTACTTATCTTTATAGCTGTTCTTACTTCGTATCAACTCTGATCTCAATTTTCTCATTCGCGTCGACCACCTGAACAAAATGGTCTCGCATGCACAGGAATGCTTTTAGACTACAGTTCTTGTAAAGCGCCAAATAGATGTATTGCAGGACCTCATTTTGTCTTCTAGTATAGTCCTGATATGACATTTTCTGCACTGAGTAGCTAGATGGTCTTCACACGTTCCCTACAATGTTGGCGCATACCCTTCTAAGCTCCAAACATATATCTTCGAGATAAAGTATCGCACTTCATCCTGCGAGCTTTTTTGAAAATGTAGCAAGCTTTTGTTAGCACCTTTTGTCGCACAGATAAAAACAGAATTAAGATGAATTTAGAATTTTAATGCTAACGTTACGTTGATGACAAAACAGATCAGAGATGTAGAATGCAGGATAAATGCAATATGTTTTCTCTATATGAACCCAAATATCACATAAGCTTACAAACAGACGAAAATAGAAAAGAAAACTTCAAAAGAATGAAGGTAAGCGTAAACACAAATGCACCCGTAGTGCAAATGAAAAGCCTACCCAACTGATTTTTCAATCGCTCTGGAATAATGAGGTTAAAATAGTATGCTTTATCAAGGAAACAGAGTTGGTGCAGTAAACGAGAGTGTTACAAATTTCGGTGTAGCCACGCTTTTATTCCATATCTTTGAAAGAGCTAAAACTACCACTTTTGTTATTTCGCAATTTCCCTGATAATGTTGACTTCACTTTTTTGATGAAAGCTTAATGATAAGGCTGTAACGAACACTCAGTTAAAAATTTTACTTTCCATCATATCCTTTTCGGGCTCTATTCTAGTAGAAATTCTGTACAAGAAAGTAACACAATTTTATGCGAAGGAATATTCAAAGCACCACTGACTGAAATGCTTTAGACAAAACAAGTTAAATTGCAACAAAAAAGTAAAAATAATTTCATATAAGTTCAGAGAAAAAGAATATTAATGAAAATTATATGTCTTATATTAACATTCATAGCTCTTTGGAAATCAAAAAACACAAAACCAGGCACTACATATATTTAAGACAAGATATTTTTTAACTTTTCAATGCTGAACAAATGATTTGAAACCAGGCTTTAAGAAATACCAGATAAAAATTACGAAAACTTTACATTACTTCAAGGTGAGCAAAATAATGAGGCCCCTTGATTTTAATAAGTGACTGTCAGAGTTGATTCAAAATGCTTCTTCACTCGCGGGATTTATGGTTCGAATTTTTTAAATGAGATATAACTCAGTGTACGAGGTAAACAGAAGACTCTATTTCTACTTCAAATCAGTATGTTGTAAAAAAGCGGGCATTTTGATTGAGAAAATCTTTAATTAATCTTCAATTTTCGTAGTAGAGTGCTGAAAAAAATGTCAAAGTGTTGATGAAAAAGTACCGAAAATGAAAAATTACAAAATGCTTTTTAGTACATAAAATGCAGTGTTGTGACAAAAAAATATGCAGCAAGATGCTACGAGCTTTCAAAAGAATAATAATTACTACTAGTTTATTATAATTTAAACCATAGAGATTTTCTGAGAAATAAAATAGGAAACATTTCTCACAACAGATTCGTGAAATGCTTCGTTTCAAAGCGAAATACTTACCACAAGAAATCAATTTTAAAACAGACCTATATTCTTCTTCATTTCATTAACACGTATTAATCCAAGGCACGACAAATACTATCAGAAAGCTTTCAATAATTCTTGTTCGAACAAGGAACAATGAGACCACCCATATAACTATTGATTTTTGTCTAGTAAAAAACGTTAAAATTTTTAAAGAAAATCAGGATGAAACTGATCTAATTCGTTATTAAGATCTAGCAGCTTAACTTATTACCTCGATGATTTTAGAAATAGAGAACAGACGTCTAGAAAAGCAACTAGAATGCGAACTGAAAAAGCGAAGAAAATCAACACTGAAACTAACCTCCTCTTAGATTGTTTCCCATTCAGTTGTCTAGGTTTGATAATTGATAGTTCTTAGTTGTTCTGAAAAAAAAATTAAATAAGAGCAACTTTTAGTAGCAAAAATACCTAGTTTCCACAATAGCGCAAAATAACAAAATAATTCCATTAGCGTATACTCCTAAACAGAAAAATTAGAACTTACAGTTCTATTGAACACAAAATATCAAACAGTTTACGAAAGTCACGAAGGTCAATGTTTTGGAATGATTAATACCACACAGCAATAAACCCTTTACTTCTAAATTATACCAAGGATACTAATTTTTTTCGGAATCTTTTTTAGGCTCTTTAATGCTATAAATTAATGAGTGTACAGTGGATAATTACATGAGGGAACATATTAAAAAAAACCCAATAGTACTGTAAAAAATACTCTAAAATGATTATGCTACTTGTCATTTTTACCTCCAGCACTGTACTGACACATGTTTCTGCTTAAAACTTACATTCCTAATACATAAGTTTAAAACAGACAATTTTTTTGTTTTTAAATAGCATCTAAACTACACTTCAATAATATGAAATCTTTTAAAACCTATCCTAAAATCTTTTCGCTTTACCAGTTTAGCTACAAAATGCATTAAAATAGAATACTTGATGAAAAACACTGAGAAAATGAAACAATAAAATATGCCCCTCACTTAGAATAATTTATCCACAGTTGCATTTTTTTATTAGCTAAGGAAACATTATGCAACTATAAGATTATTATTCAAAGCAACAATTGAAGGTCTAGAGGTAAAAAAAAACACACGAGCACAAACCTAATACTATGCCTCACACTAATATCACAAGCAAGTAGCCTGTTAGCCTGCATTGATACATTTGTAATTTCAGGTACAAACCACTGAAACGAAACAATGAGGCTGAAATCACTATGAAAATATCATCTCACCAGCCTATTTTTATTTAATGTTGATATTGATAGTTTACTGCATGTAAGCATCAAGTTTATAGTATGCTGTTCAGGCATCATGTCCTTCAGATACAGTTGACACTTTGCATTCCAAATATTTTATATTTGAAATTTAAGCGAAAATTAAATAATCATTTGAGTTTTTTAAATGAATAGAAAATTGGAATTGAATAATTATGTTTTTTACATTTTCGGTTGTCAAAATTTTTTTTACGGAATTAATTGTTTGAATGTAATTGGTTCAAAATTTAATACAATAACTGATGACGTGTATTTTATAGTGAAAGGTGCCAACAAAAATAGAATGTTTTTCGTTAATTCGAACTGTGATACAATACACGTTACTTTACAGTTGTCGAAAACATCAAGTTAGATAAAAATCAACATTTTAAAATATTCTTATTAACAAAAATTTATTAACAAGGATTTTTAAAGTGCTGGATTCAGAATACCGCAAATTTTCTTGAAATTGCTGTATTGCTTCTTAACCATAATTTTCAATCCACAATCATAATTTTTTTATTTGAATGCGGTAAGCCATGACTCAAACTCATTTTATAAAAAAACACATATCTTTTCACCATCACTTTCGAACCAGTCGCAAGTTTTTAGTTAACTATGCAGTAATGTTTGACTTATCTTCGTTAATATATGTAAAAACAGCTGTGCAGAGAACTTTATACACATTATTCAGTTGGTGATGAACTAGCGTTTTCGAGAGCTTATCACGAAATCATGGAGTTTGTAGATATGCTGTTTCGTTTAAGAAATATGTTTTTGCTTCAAAGCTGATAGTCCCTTTATCACGTATAAAAGTGAAGACGGTATTAGAAACATTCAATAAAACGAAGAATTGACTGATAACCAAAAAAAATTTCTGTAGTTTACATAATTTTATGCGCATCAAAATTGAGTTTCATGGTAAAATTACAATAATTTGAGTATTTAAACAAATTTGTACCACTTATTTTCTTTCCTTGAAACTTGAAGGTATTTAACAAATAAGTTATCTTGGGAAATGAAATTACTTGCAACCTGTCACTTCTTACAACTTCTCTAACTTTCATTCTTTGCTCTTAATAAATTCCTCTGAAGTTGTTACTTTCAAGACATCAGCTCACAGCAGTTAATTACTTATTTATTGCAGTAATTATGTACATCTAATTTTTTGATATGATTTCTTTTTCCAGTAAACCCAATTTTGTTTCAACCACTTCGCATTACACAATAATAGTGCTTTTGAGTTCTTAGTACTTATCTCCAGAAAATTTTTTGGTTTATTGAATTGGAAATGATTTAAGAATAACAATGCTTATGTTTATCAATAAGCAAATGATTGAGTGGTGCTTCTAAAGCGCATGAAATATTGCTTCCTCCCTGAAATAGTAATACAGTTTTTAGATGAAATATATGGTTTTGTTTAGTTAGAGAGATGGTTTGAGTTCTAGTAGATTATTTTATGCAGGCGAATAAATCGATAAAATAGTGTTTACTAGTAGCGAAAATAATCGTTGTTCATGTAGTGATATTTGGCAGAGACAGTTCTAACTGATGACGTTTTGGGACAGTGAAATTATAATTCACGTACTCTTTGCAGAGAGAATTTGATGCAAAATAAATATGATTTAAGTGATTTGGACGTTTATATTTATATTACTTGTTGTTTTCAAGATAGTAGCTCACACAAGTTAATTACTCATTTACTGCAGTAATTATGTATATGTAAATTTTATGCAATCTTGTTGATTTTTATGAAAATGAAAGAAGTTATTAAGAGGGTTATTGTTTTGTCAATTGATTCATTTCGCATACAACTATTTATCACTAGTAATATTGCTAGAAATTCTTTGTTTTGTATTGTTAATTACAATTGGTATTCTACCGTTTGGTATGAATAGTTGTGGCGCTTACATAATTAAAAAGAGATAATTTAAATTGAAAGTTACAAATGTATCAGAAAAGCAAAACAGAATTTTAAAAAATTAAATGAAACTTAGACACTGAAGAATTAGTATAATAGATGTTGTCAACGAGAATGTACAATGTTTACTCTTAAATTTAAAATTTTTCGAGCTGGAGAATAATTTAATTTTGAAGCTACTACTAAAGTTTAGTTCAGAAATGAAGAAAACAATGTTAGTTATAAAGTCATGTCAGAGTTGGAAAACTACCGATTTTTTCTCCAACTTCAATAAGAATTCCTAACCTCAAAGATGTAATTGTATTAACGTCAAGCACTCTGAAAGGTTCAATAGAAACAATTGTAACTGTTCAGATATTTTCATCTCTTCATTACAGAAGCAAATTAATTTGTTAAATTTATTTTAACTTATTTAAATGAAAAAAAAAGGTTAAAGTCATGTTTCAAAAATAACAATAACTTCGTTCTACATCCAACAAATAATTAAATTTTTAGATATAAAATTAATATGTCATTTAATTGTGCATTTGATATAATATTTCAACAGTTTGCCTACGAGGAAGATATCGTCCGAAATGCATAAGTCATACTGTTACGATGATGCACTTCTTGAATTTCCAAAATCTATACTAGATATTAATTTTTATTACCGACCCTTTCATAGTCATTACGAAATAGCGCCTAATTTTTGTTAATGTAATATATATTGTATTTATCCTTGCTGTTTCTTTATAAATTTTGATCTATTCACTTTAAATAACTTTCATAACCATATTATATTATCCATCCTACCCCATTTTTAAATCATGCAAGTTTTAGGAATTAATTCCGGCATCCCGTTACTTCATTCAAAAATTAAACCAGATAATAGCATTCACATAAGACCAAAAATATGGTGAAGTCTCAAAACTGTCATACTTTTTAGCATGTGGTTGACACACAAGTTATGCTTTCTTTAATATCAATGTATACGTATGAATCAAAAACAAATGCCACATTTTGTTGCTTGCATGAATAATAGATTACAATAATTTATGCACAAATTTTGGTGGATAGCTGACTCGTTTGCTCTACAAATTTGTTTAGAACTCATAAATAAATGGTCAGTTGGACGAATCAAGTTCTATCAAATGGTGTCACAGAACCCAACTGTTTCTTTTTAAACGATAAATTTAGTGCGTCTCAAATTGCTTTTCTCAGTAGGTGCAGAAAAAAGTGGTCCTCTGCTCTAACAAGGTGAAAGTTTCTTGACTAATCGATTGTTCCTAATGACTTGCTTCCTCCAGTGAGACAGATTCGAAATCCAATTCAACATTTTTGAAAAAAGCTACAGAAATCAAAAATATTTTGCATAAATTATTAAGAAAAATACTATGAAAAATGCTTCGTAACCTATGAACCTGAAAATCTCTTATTAGCAAAAATGAAAACGTACTAAAATTAAAATGCTGTCAAAGATGCAAGTTAAGAACTGAAACTACAAAGTACAAAAACGGATTAAAATTCTACTCTTCCTAAAATGAATATAAAATGGAAGATAGATTATAATTGTTTCTTCAATACATTTACTTATCATTATTACGCTGACCTAAATCAATGTGCATTTTAGCAATCAGTAATACCTACATCAATAACGATTATCTTTCTTAATTTACAATGAATTCTGATATAATCATCTTTCATATATCACAACTTTTTGCCTCGCATACAATGCTTTGAGTTTTATAATAAACACAGAACCTGTGTACGAGTCATATTGTCAAGGAAATATGACCAATCAAACGAAGGAAAAAAAAGTCATCGTAACTTTGATGCTTATACAACAATAGCGTATAATTTATGAGTGAATAAAAACGAATCAGCAATTCATGCTAAATCATTTAATAGCAGACCCAAAGCAAAGCATTACTAAATGAATCTTCCAATAATCATTTTCTTAACTGACATTTTTGATAGATATGTAATTCACAAACAAAGAAAAATGCCAAACACCTAACTGTTGCAGTGCTTTACTTTGTTTCATCGAGGTCACTTTACTTCATCAATGACGTAAACAAGAACAAATTTACATCTAGTCATATGACGAAGAATTGTAAAATAATTTATTGCAGCAAATTCTCCATCAATTTCTTTATTGCTGGGATAGCATCTGAACCACCACTTTGTAGAAGTGCCAAGGCTGTTAATGCACTTTGCTAAAATAATCCTATGATGACAACTTCGGCTGACGAAATATTTTCTCATTAAAACCTGCCAAGTAACAAACTGCTTATAAAAAAATATCCAGTTATTAAATTAAAGATTATTATCGATAATTACCTGGTAGCCAACTAAAATTTCCTCAAATATTTCGATTTGATGTTTAAGTTCTTCTTTCTCATGTTGGAATTGTCGAAGTGCTACCTCTAAACTAGACAGCTCACCGTCTAGACGATCACCTTTACTTTCACAAGTGAGATTTTTCTTTTCATGGCATCTGTTTCTTACTTCTGTCATACTAATTCCTTTAGACGTTATTGCCTGAAACAATTTTTTTAAGCAAAGAGCATTAAGGAACGGTAATAACGCTGTCACTTTGACATTAGCGTGTTTTTTTAATTTTCAATACAGCTTACATTATTAAAACACTTTTTTTCACAGTAAAATGATTTCCACTATTATTAAGTATATTTATATGCATACATTCGATTTTGTTTCAGACGTTCAGTTTTTATAAAGTGATAGATATATTCGGTGGTACTCGACAATATGGATGAATAATTCACTGTCATTTTAGTTGATTTTTCTATAGTAATGCGCACGTATACTTATGATCAGAATTATAGCAAGAATTCGAGAAATGATTTTAGAAAATGTATTTATGCATATATTTTTCAGAAACTAACTGTTTAATTCTCGTGTAATTAGCTAATATTACAACAGTAGAATGAAATGTAAAAAATTTACCGCGCAGTCACACTTCTTCATTGGGCTGGTTGAAGCGTCCACTAGTGCGGAACCATTCTGAATTTTTTTATTTTCTAAAGTTGTATTCGCTGTTGTTGTAGTAGCCGTTTGACCACTACTATCCAAGAAACGTCCAGTGTCTTCAGTTTTGATACTTACATCTATCACGGTCTGCTTTCGTGGAAGTGGAACAAACCCCTACAAATCATTGTTGAAGTTCTCAGTGCATAATTGTTTTATCACTCGTAATTAATTTAAAAATCACAATTTCTTACTGCAAAAGAAACGTTGATCTAGTTATTCATTCTTCTAAGATAAATTGAAGTTATCAATAATATGTATAGTCTACAATATATTATAATACGATGCTGTGGGTAATTTCTTTACAATTACACTTCGAAACACAAAATTAATTACAAGAAAAAAAAGCAGATCAAAATATAAGGCAAAAAATAACTTCTATCATTATTGCTATTATTTCTGTTTGTATCACTATGCTGCAGCATGAAATAATGCGAAACAAGTGTGAAATGTTTTACTCAATAGTTCTTACTGACTTACGTATTCCTAAAAATGTCTCAACCTTTAGGCGAAAGCATGCAAAAGCTTAAAAAAATAAAATTTCACTTCATCATCTTCATCATCTGCGGTAACAAAAGTTGACGATGCTCGTAATTGCTGAGGATTGCTTGCTTTTCGTTTATTACGATGGTTTCGAGTAACACTTAAACCCTTTTTTTCTAGCAAATCATCCAGTGAGCTTCCATTTATCATTCGCTTGCAATCCTGAAATTTTGGAAAAGTTCAAGTTGATTTAATTTGTTTTAACAAACCTAAGACTACAGAATATTCACGAAAGTTATTTAAATATATCGAAATCCGAAAGCATAGCAATAATAATAATGATGACAAATACTTCAATAGTTCAATTTATAATACATTTTATGCTCAAAATGTATTTATAAAAATTCAAAATTGATAAATTTTGTTAATGGAAGAATTAACAAGATCATCAAGAGATGCATTCTCCAGTTAAAAACTGAAAAATGTTGGACTTTTTACTCACTTATTGAAGTGCCATCTAAATGCAACAAATTGTACACCAAAAGAATAGTGGATAAGAATTCGATCTAAACAAGCAATTACATTGTTAGGAACATTTCATATTCTATAACGTGAACGAAAATGAATTTAAAAACTATGCTAATATTACCTACAACTTTAATGCCAGCTGTTTTCCTACCATCCACGTTTACTTTTCTTTTAACTCTTCTTTATTCATATGTTATTTGTATGGTTTATGTAATTTAACACTCATTTATCATCATACTATTCTGTTCAAATAATTTAATCCGTCAGTGCTCGATATATATCGCTAATACTTTTGGCTTAATTAATCTAATCCGCTAAGAGTGATATTTCATTATAATTTTGCTACAGAATTTAGCTGTTTACTATATGTTAGATTTTATCTTCAATCTGCAGAAAAAATCATGCATGAGGAATATTACCTGTGGAAATGTCGAATTTGATGTTTTGCTAGGGGATGCAAGGGAGCTAGAACTTTTAACAGTACTGATATCAGTTTCATTAGCAGACCGTTCATCTTCTTTCATTTCTTCTTTGACATTTGTTCCATTTGTTGCTTTTGTTCCCTCCTTCCGCAAGCTTAGGCTTTCTGCATTACCTGAGACTAAAATTTAAAAATTATCAGCAAGTAAATCAAGGTTAAAAGAAATAAACTTCTATCCTTTACTCTCTACGATTGAATCTCATGTCACACTTAAAATCAAAACTTTGAAACAGCTAAGCTGACATTCGATTTGCTAGAAATTAGCAGCTGTGGCCTCTAATTATAATTTTTGTTTCATTTTGTATAAAAAAAGATGCTTATCCAAAAAATCAACAATTTCTTGCACTGAAGTCAATAAACGCACCATTAAAAGCATTCAAAAATTAATATTACACAATAAAACAAACTTTGCACAATTTTTTGAATCTTGTCTTCTTCTTGCTGCTGAATAATACCGGTCAACAAATTATTAGAACTGAACGGCGCCGAAGAAAAAGCACTATTCGCCAGCCAAGCTGTTAGCCAGTTGTTCTGACTAGTCATGTCAGTGCTTATTTGTGACAGTAAGTTATCTGGCTTAAAAGCATTCGTTAAGATTATTCTAGATTTAAACTCTGGATTAACCGAGTTACTAAATTCGTTGCAGAAATCAAACTTGAATTGAGCTGATTAAAGTTCTAAACATTTATTGCTTTCAACAGTATAAGTCACTTGATTGATTAAAAAACAAGTCAAACAAAAACCACTTGATAATCTAATAAAATTATTTTGGACTTCTAAAGATTTATGAATCTATCATATATGCTTTTTCATTAGACTTTTATTTTAAAAGTTAAGAGGTGTAAAAAAAAGGTAAAAAATATAAATAAAGTATAACCTTGGTTGCAAAGCGGAACAAATTGTCAGTGCTGTTGAGCGCTGGGAAAATGGATCCGTTCAATAAACTATTACTAAATAATGAATTTTTGATATTTGTTTGTTCAGATGGTGGAGATTCATTTCCACAAGCCTCTGGAGGACTAACAGATGGACTTCCTTCTAATTCTCCAGGTGACATTTCTCCTACGACTAAAACAGAAATTTTTTTCAGTAATAAGTTTGAAGCGCAAATTTTATTTTTAACTCAGTGATGCAAGGCCATCATTTTATAAAATGAATTAATCCGTAAAACTATTTTAAGCATAAACTTAAGTAAATTAACATAATTTCTTTTAAAAGTTGTTTTATTTTCATTGTTTAGCGAAAGGCAATTTAGAAATGAGAGAAAAAGTGATATTGAGGTACAAACCTCCAGCCATTCCAGGACCATCACTTGAACTTCTAGCAAGGACAGAAACATCACCTGGCGTGCCATTCCGCAGCATACTTTGCATATGTATGTGCAAACTTGTTTTGTCAGGATATGCCCAGTTACAGCATCGACACATGAACATTCGGGATATAGAATGAATACGGAACATGTGGGACCGTAACGTCTCATTTCCCGAACAGCCTGTTTTATTTGCATAATTAATGAAACGTTTATACCTTGCTTTCATAGGTATCATTTCAAATTAAAAAACTGCTGATTGATCATTAAAGTTGATACTTTACTTTTGAAATTTCTAAATTTGTTTCTGAAAAGTGAACTGAACAAAGAATTCACATTCTTAATCTTTAAACTAAAAAACCTTGTAGCTTTCTGGAATTAATCCTCTCTAAGAACTTTTTACTTCTGACATATTTCAATTCATGCATGTTTTCAAACTACTGAAAAAATGTTTAATATTATATAAAATACTGTGATCTGCATTACTGGATATTAGAAGTTATTAGGTAAGAGTAAATTCATTTTCGATCCTTATACCCCACGATTGCTATAAATCTATTCTTTTTGATGCCATTTTAAATGCTTCAAATCAGTCTTTTGGAATGATTAAACCGTCAGGGGTGCTAGTTGATATCGATAAGAGAAGATCATTCAAATTCCATTAGAAATAACATGCGTCCTGCATGCTTTCTTACATTTCACAAAATCAAAACCATTTCTATTTATTTCCTATTCCATTTCATTTTAACAAGTTCTTATTGCCTTACTGAACCTTCTAAAAAAACACAGACCAACTTTTGCGACAGTTATAAAATTTTACTTGTTCCCTTTTTCTTTATTTGACTTACTTAATATTTGAAACTTAAATAATTGACAATAAAAGCACTCACTGTTTTAAATTACGGAAAATTCCAAAATCAATTACAATCTATGTAAAAGAAATAAGATTTTTTTTCAAGCCTCTCTATACATCTATACTCAAATCAAATTTTAAACGATGATCAGTGTTGCTGTCTAAACAACAAACACACTTGATTTACCGATCAAAACTTCTTCAAATAAATTATTTAAAATTTATAAAACCATTATGTAAATAAAATGATTCAAATCATGTTAGAAATCACGATCTGAAAAGGAAATCAATTTTCTCAAATGTATTCATTGTTCCTTTAAAAGAAATAAGTTTAAGCTTTTATCTTACAAAAAATGGTAATTTTTATTTTTATTTTTGTAGAACGTTAAAATTTAGTTTGCAGCATAAATAAATGTGGATGATAAAAATTAGATGAAGTGAAAAGTTCCAATTCTTTCAGAGGTTTTGAAAACTAAACAAGGTAAAAGAAGTTATGATAATTTATAATGCATGATGGGTATTTAAAATTTAAAACTCACTTGAAATTTCTTGATTGCATTGTGTGCATGTATAGCTTTTGAAATGAGCTTGCATACGATGTCGACTCAAAGATGATGAGTGACAGAACACCTTTCCACAGACTGAACATGGAAATGTACCTGAAATTTTGTATTTCTAGCTGCAGATCGTGGAACATATTAATTCCACATCTTGAATTATGCGTTTAAAATGATTCAAACTGATATAGAGACTGATTAAAACTACGAGTCCACACCGAACTTTTTACACTGTTATTTCAACTTTGACAAAGCATTTAAAATATTATTGTATCTGTACTTATCCAAATATCCACAAATAAACTTCCCTTCCATATTAAAAAGGCTTTTCATTGATAAAAAGTTGAAATGCTTGCTGAATTCCAAAAAAATACATCTCAGAAACACTGTAGAAACATTAGAAAAAGATTTCAGATGCAGTTATGAATTCAGCACTTTTTACCCAAGTAAATTTGTCAATATCAGTGTATTAGTAAATGAATACTCACTGACATAAAATGATGTACTCATCAATTTTGATGCTCTCAACAATTGCAATTATTGCCATATAGTTGATTGATTACATATGTAGTAAATTAGGCCATATTTTTATTATACTACAATACTTAATTTTATGGTTTTGATCAAACTGTTTGTCTCACTAGATCACACTAATTATCTAAATAAAACATGCTGATATTCGAAACTGTTGTATTACAGATTATATTTGATCATTTATAGAACACACAAAAGATGTTTCTAGATCAACTTATTTTTCTGCGAAATTAACTATTTAATGAATGAACAATGATGAATTGACACTTTAGCTATTCCTTTTGCTATAAGCAGAATTTTTCCTTCGCGATGATTAAGATTTTTATTGAACCAATCAAGACTTTAGAAATAAATACTAAGAGAAACAAAAAGTAAATATTAGCAATAGTGTTACTGTTAATCTTTTATAATGCCATTTTATGAGATTAAGGAATTGATGAGAGCCATAAAAATTTAGTGATTAAAAACAGACGGTGCCTTTAATGGGAATAACTTGAAAACCAGAGTATTTTATAAAATCTTAAGGTAAAATAAGTACCTTTCAAATCAGGTCGTTTTAATTCTGATCGATATGGCATTTTCCAGTGATATCTGTTAGACACAAAATGGTTTAAATGAAATTTCACTACGAGTCAGAGTCGAAGTTCTCAGGAATAATAGCAGTGATTATCACCGGAAAATGATAACAAAATGGGAAATGGTAATTTCAGACGTAGACAGCTTGTTCAGAGTGATTCCTCTTTAAATGCCTAAATATTAATTGAATTTAAAGTAAAATGCATCAACCATAAACATACAAAAAGAAATTATTGAGAACCATGAAAATCCAGTAAACGAAAATTTAATGTAAAGCTACATAAGAAACTTGCATACTATTTCATATATACAGGTAAATGAGCGAAAATAATCGTGAAGAAAGATCACTTCAGTTTGACAAAAACTAGAAATACTGAAATGCTGATGAAAAAGGAAAAATTGCAGGATATCTATAAATTCTTACAACTAATGTGCTGCATATCTGTTATTGATATTAATTATAAAAAAGTGAAGAATAAATTGTACAAACGTAGGCCACATATAAAAGATTAAAATTACATTTTAAAAAAAACTGAAATAATGGACGAAATAAGCAATGACTGTTTGAATTCAAATAGTCATTGCTAAGTAACCAGACAAAGTTGAGATGATGCTGAAAATGCGATGCTTCTGGTGAGGAAGTGAAAACAAAATTGGAGGTAGTGTGCTGGTGACCTTTACCATGATGAATAATGTCACTTTGCATCCTTGGAAATGAGGCTAGATGTGTGTTGTACCTTCACATTTGGCTAATCTCTGAATGGCATCAGTATCGAAAAGGGAGCAAATGAAAAGGTCGCAAAGACTGCTTATGGTCATATTCAATCTCTGAGTATAGTACACATGAAAGCTATAAGATATTTTTGATCAACTGCTACCACTATTTTCCTATTATTACATTCAATCAACACCCAAATCTTTCTTTCTACAAACAAATGACAGTTATAAGAAGATAACTTATTACTTTCATCATTGTTTATGACAACAAATAAAGCTGAAATATTATTATGAAAAAGGAAAAAAAAAGTTTTTAAAGCTTTTAAAAAATTGTGTTCTTGATTTGAATCTTTAGGTAACATAAATAAATAGAGAACAGTGGTAAATGTGAAAGCAGAATTAGACAGGTTATGCTGTTTCGTTACAGTCACTAAAAACACTTTTAATGCACTCTATTTTATAGTGGAAAACACCAGAAAAATTTCTTTGTTTAAGAACAGCTTAACAGGGATTGAAGAAATATTTAGATCTGAATAATTAACCTGGTTTTAAATTCAATATATCCAAAAAGTTGTATAAAAGTAGCCATCAGCATTAAGATTGAGAAGAGAATAGGAAGGATGAAATTATGCTCAGAACACTTACAAAACTTACCTTCCGCCGACCAAAAATATCTCTAATGAGACACCATATCTCAGTCTGTCAAGCTTATGACTAGTAGCTCAATAACCGATATGGACGCCATCTGTAAGGTAGGTCTAAACTGGTAGAGCATTCAGCATGCTACTGATTCGTAAGCTATACTTTCCATCTCTTTACCTTTTTTTCCAGAATGATTGCACTACAAAGCCAAAGATTACTTTTGACAGGCTGTTAGATGAACATACAAATAGTTTCATATAGAACAGGCACATAAATGTATGGATGAGTGGTTGCAACTCATACACTGTTGCATATCTGTGCTTCTCTACTTGCCAATTACGATGAAAGCCTATCTAATGATGGCAAGCAATTTAAGTGCAGGTATTATTTATCTGCCAACATATCTGATCATATCCAGCCATAAACGCTTCTCTTAAGCACCCGTTAATTTGCATATTTTTTCCTTCCATTCTTTTTTCTTTTCTTTTTCTAAATTCATAACAAGAATGGTAGAGCGAAACATAAAAAGAACGGTTCCCGAAATGCACATCGCAACTAAACTACTACCACTTTAATTACTTTTTTCTTTTCTTAAAGTAATATCTATCTTAGGATATAAAAAAGTTACCTATTAGCTTATATAGAGGGAGGTCTGCTTCTGCTGATTCAGAAAAAAATTAGAATTTCCAATTCATTCCTGGAATATTTCTTTCATAACTATGCAGTTATTTCTTTTCTTAACTTTTTCGGTATTTACTCAAATTTTTGCAAAATAAAAACATTACTGATGATGTCTCTGTGAAATTGACATGAGTTATGTATTACACTGCAGTAATTGCTAGTACTCTGCATAGTTTCCTAAAAGAACTTCCAATATAATAAATGTTTTTTTTGTTATGTGATCAACTTGTACTCTGAGATCTTGACTTCTGAGAGGGAAAATTCAGTTTAAAATTGCTTAATAATTGTAAAAGAAAAAAGTACTCTTTGGCACATTTTCATTTCCACCAGGATAGCTTGCATTAAATACTAGTAATACATTTAACATTTTATTCAGTTGATTTTTTTATGCTTTAAAAATTTTTCCATTACCAGTCACATAACAGTAATTTTGGGCTCTGAGATACCACTGTGTTTCATATACCTAAGTTATATTCTTTTGGATCATTTTTAGCAAAAAAATAATGATTATTGTTAATAAATTGTTAAAAAAGCTCTCCAATATGAATTGACTATTTGCGGCGACTTGTAAAAGTTTTTTAACAATTGTAAGCTTGGTTAGTAGTGAAGATAACATTGGAAAATAAAACGAAATCTACATATTTTGCTGCCATCCTAAGAATCAAACAAATTACTTATTCTTTATTGCTATTAACATCTATTGTTGCCCAAAATTTAAATTTTCTTCTCATTAAGTAAAAACTTTTACTGAAAAAACCAACTAATTCCATCACCAATATACTAATATTAATTTTAATAATAAAGCGGGAAACTGATTTGGTGAACCGATTAATGCCCAGCACTAATAAGAATCTTATAGAGAAATAGTTCTTGAACTATTACAATAACGAAAATCGTAAATTATTTCAGATATTTAGCAAATATAAACGAAAAGAACTCTAAAAAATGACAGAAAAGTGTGTGGAAACATTCAAGAAAGACATCAAAGTCCCTAAATGGGTCTGCAAATTATTTCGTAAGCAATTAGTTGTGGCTTTTTGCTTTGTAAATGACTAGTTGTGAAACACTCTGGAAATTTTCGTTACAGCAGTGCACTTTTTTCTTTACTGTCACTATGCGCACACAAAAGTTTTATTATTTTCTTGCTAAACATTTGCATACTTCTAAATGCTTTGTAAGGGATAACAGGAGAGGTAGAATTCATCAAGTGCAAAAGCATCATTTAAAATTAGCGAATATGAATGAAAAATGGTTCTATTAAGGACAAATTCATCGACAGCTATTACATATACCTTAAAGAAGAACAAAACTAATTTTAGCTTTCTAATTTAAAAAAACTGCCATCAAATTATGCTTGTTCTTGTCTGAGCATTAAAATAGCCCAAGAACGTTGATTACAAAAACGTTAGATGGTAAGAGGATAAGATAATGAAACTACCAAATACTCAGTTCATATAAAACTTCTTCAAGCTAATGATAAACATAGAAAGTTTAGTGAGCTTTTTGGAAATATATGAATCAGACACAAAAAAATGACGAATATTTTAGGAAAAAATGCAGTTTTTTCTGCAATTTAACTTATTAGCAATTGCTACTACATTACAAGCTGTTTGTATATAAAAAAAGCATAACTGAAATTGAAACGGGTAGTAATAAACTAGAAACTTGGCAGTCACGTTAACTGCTTTGTTTTAAATTGTTTATTTGTTTTTTAAAATATTTTGCTTATAGTCAAGGTTAGACGTACATGTTTTGAGTGAATATATATATATATATATAAATATATATATATATATATATATATATAT